GGAACAATTTGAAAAGGAGTTGGAAGAGAACTTGGCACGTGCTGTGGCACCACAAGATCTTGAACAAGAAGATCACCAACAAGAAGAGCAAGCTCAAGCTCCACAACCAGGTGAAGACCAAGAGAAAAAGCCAGAGGAGGAAAAAGACGCTGCCAAAAAGAAAGATGAAGATCAAAAAGATGAAGATGATCTATGGGGAATTGTTCCGCATCGACATGAAGAACTGACGGCAGCTGAAATCCGTTGGTGGGATGTGAAGGATCAGTTCTGGAAAGAGAAGATTGCTGAACTTCAAGATGTGGATGTCCGCAACCTCACGTTTGCGGTGCCAATGCAAAGCAGGCATTCCAGAGAGGTGGTTCGAGCTGTGCAAGAGGTGTACATGCGCCTGAGGACACTTCAACTGCCGGTGCTTCGACTTCACAGTGATCGAGCACGGGAGTTCACAGGTGTCAAGCTTCGAGATTGGTGCACACAACGGGACATCCTGCAAACCAGTACTGCTGGCGATGAATCAGCAGGAAATGGGCGGTGTGAATCTGAGTTGGGCATCATCCAGGCACAGACAAGGGTGCAACTTCGTGCAGCTGGACTGGAAGCCAATTGGTGGCCTTTGGCCTTGCGGCATACGGTGGAACAACGACAGAGGGATCAACTGGCCTCAATGGGCATCACTCTGCCGCCACTGATACCGTTTGGCACGGAATGTTATGCTTTGATGGCACCAAGCGATGGCACCGACGAGACTGGGACCACCCTTTTGAGAAGATCCGGGTCTTGGGGCCAGCAATGGGGATGAGCACCACATCAAAGGGGTACTACATCCAATCCCTGAGCTCGGGCAAGTTCATGAGGTCGACAGTGGTGGTTGTCCCAGCGACACTACCACCACTCCTTCCACAGCTGCCGGAGCCAGAGGTGGACGACTATGCGCCGTCGTTCCTCCCAGAAGACGAGGCTGATGACCATCTTCAAGATGATGTGGAGGAGCCCATGGAAATCTGCCCTGACCATGTGGTAGAAGAACTTCATGCTGACCAAGGTGGTGCCGAAGTTCAAGTACATGTCCTGAATCCAAGACAACCAGTGGTGCCAACCCCGGGGGAGCTTCGCTTGGCTGACGGGAGTCGACCTCGACGGCTTCAAGGAAAACAGCATGTGGACCTCCTACCTCCCAGCGTTTCAAAGCTGCTGTGGACCACAACAGGGGGGAGTGGACTGGATTCGGTGGTGGATCATGAACTTTCAGGCGATCAACAACTTCAAAAACCGGAGATTCGAAGGTACTTGGATCACCTTCAACAACTTTGTCTTCTTCAACATCATGAGCTATGTCGACTTCGGAGAGAAGAAACCCAAGTTGGAGACTATGACATGATGGGAGAAACTTTGAAGGACATCGACGATGAAGTCCAAAGACTTGAAGGGGCACTTCGTGGCTTGGCAAAGCTGGAGCCAATGGTCAAAGAGCAGGAGACCCTGGTGACAAAAACCTTGACCCTGGATGAGGTTCGACGAGAACTTGAAGATTGGAAAGAGCCAATCAAGTCGGAGTATGAGTCCCTCTTGAAGCACAAGGCCATCGAACCGATCAACAGGGAGCAGTACCAGGAGCTTCAAAGAACTCATGACATCGAGGTGATCCCTGGGAAGCTTGTGGCAACAATCAAGCCGCCTTTCAAGAGAAAAGCAAGGTTGGTGGCATGTGGCAATCAGGCTTCAAAGAATGAAGATGCAGAAGTGGCAGCAGGTGGACTTTGCACGGTGTGCACAAGGTCACTGGTGTCAAAAGCCGCCCAAAATGAATGGGGTTGTGCAACAGTGGATGTGAAAACAGCATTCCTTCAAGCACCACGACGTGAAGAAAAGGACAAGTTGACGTTGGTCACACCACCGGCGATCACCAAGGAGGCACAGGTCTGTGGCCAAGCATGGTGGCTCGTCAAAGGTGCGCTCTATGGGCTGGTGGAAAGTCCTAAGGACTGGGCAGTCTACAGGGACGCTACGTGCAAGACCATTAGCTGGAAGGGTGAAACTGGTCAACATCGACGCCTGGCTCCAACACCGGAGCCACATGTGTGGTCAATTGAAGAAATGGAAAAGACTTCCAATGGCGAGAAGTGGTTCGTCATTGGCAACATGGGGGTTTATGTGGATGATCTCTTGCTCGTGGCCCCGGACAACATCCTCGAGGAGACCTTGCAGGCCTTGGAGGAGAGGTTCACACTGGCTACGCCGGAATGGGTCACGGGGGAGAAAACTCTCACATTTTGTGGCTATGAAATCTCAAAGACCGACCAGGGCTATGCGCTGGGACAAGAGAAATACATCCGCGACCTCATGGACAAGCACAACATCAAACAAACAGCAGGGGTCCCGTGCCCAAAGGTTGAAGAAGGACCAGAAGAGCCTGCTGAGAACCTCCAAGGGCCAGTCCTGCGAGCAGCCCAGCAGTTGTGCGGGGAGTTGATGTGGCTCACTACAAGGACACGACCAGATGTGGCGTACACGGTGGGGGTCATGTCAAGGCTGCTTCACAAAAGGCCTGGCTACGTGGTGGAAGATGGACAGCAATGCCTGAAGTACCTTTGCGGAAGTGCATCAAAGAAGCTCCACTACAAGGGTGGTGGCCCAATAGATGTTTTGGAAGTGATGGTGGATGCAAGTTTTGGACCACCTCATGAAGGATACCGCTCAGTGCAGGGCATCATGATGACCCATGGCGGGAACCCTATCATGTGGGCTTCAACAAGGCAGCCTTTCATCACCCAGAGCACCGCGGAGGCAGAGCTCTTGGCGTACAACGAGGCGTACCAGAATGGGGAATCAACAGGAGCTCTTCTGGAAGTTCTTGGGTACGGGGGAGTGAAAAAGCACATGCAAGGTGACAGTAAGTCTGGCATCAGCCAACTTACCTCCGACACAGGAGCTTGGAGGACAAGACATCTGAGACTTCGGTCGGCCAAGTTGCGAGAAGTGGTGCAAGACCCTGACGAACCATGGACGGTGTCGCACTGCTCGGGCTTGGAACTGGGAGCCGATGGTTTGACAAAGCCACTCCAAGGACAAGCATTCAGCCGTTTTTTGGGGTTGATTGGAATGGCAGAAGATGAAGAGGTTTCAGTTTCCAAGGTGATGGGCCCTTCGTGGACGAGCTCAACCACGGCATCAACCGGTTTCAACACAGCGTTGGAGGGCGTGGGAGCTGCAGTCATGGGGGTTGGAGCTTTGATGGACTCAGAGCCACTGGTGCTTGGTGGCTTGGCTATGGTGGCAGTGTCCTTGTACCGCCAACGGCATGGAGTTCAACGTGAACAAGAAGACTTCGACCTACATCATGGAGGAGACCTACTACCAGGGGTTGAACATCTTGCTGAGGCGTCTGAACCTCAGCTGAATGAAAAGAGAAAAAAGGAAGAAAAGAGTCTGAAGACCACAAGACTGGCAAAAAGACCGCAGAAGGACCACAAGAGTGGCCAAACCCCAAAAGGGACTTTGGATGAAGCGGCACATCCACCCCATCCACAAAGCCGAGCCAGCACGGCAGAAGATTCAAAAGAAAATCTTGGTTGTAATGGCTCACGGGCTTCTTGGGTATGGGGGAGTAGCTCACGTCCCTGGATGTCAATCCACGGATCGGGCGCGACCATGTGCTAGCAATGGGGTGGAGTCGTCAAGGCCACCAAAAGGTGCTCTGCAGGAGCAATCAGTGCATGTGACTGGAAGGTTGCAATCAGTGCCTGAGGTGCCAAGAGTGAGCGCACTTCGATATGAGGGTGATCCTGATGATCCCATCGAAGATGATGACTCAGAGGCAGACCCTGGAGTGCCATTCCCGCATGGGGACCCTCACGGCAATGCCTACCTACGACACCTTGGGCAAGTACCTCCTAACTACAAAGCTCCTCCAGTGCAATGGATGCAACAACATGTGCCTAAGGCGGCATTGCCTAAGGCAAGACCGAAGAGGAGGGCAGAAGAGGCACAACCAAAACAACGTGCAGAAGCCTTCCAAAGAGCAGTCGCTGCTGAACGGGGGAGCATTCACCAAGCAGTTCAACGTGAACAACAACAAGGTGCTTCCTCTAGCAGTTCAACAGGCCAACAAGGATATCCACAACGGCAACCTCCAGGAGCTCCGCCACGAGAACCAACTGACAATGAAGTTGATGAGGCTCTTCGAAGGGTTGCAGAAAACTGGCTGTTCACACAACCTCCACGGGTTCAAGATGGATGGCACTACATGGATGTTGTGGAGCTCTTTGGCAAGAGGTATCGGGTGGTGATGCGAAACCACCGGACATCAAGGAGACGAAGCTTCCATCCAGTTCACCGAGGAGCTCCAGGCAATCTCTTGGGAAGGAGGCTCACGGTGATCCATGGAAATGGAAGACGCAGTGAAGTGGCGGACAACTGGTCTGAATCATGGGAAACGACTGGTTGGACGGGCTACACGTTGTTTCTTCAGCGACTCCCAGAAGAACCTCAACAACCTGCCACTTCAAGCCAGAGCAGTACCCAACCAGTCGCTACAACGCAGCTGGATGAGGAGGCTGAGGGCGATGGCAGCTTCGAGTTGGTCGAAGATGATGATCCTGGTGGTCAAGGTCAAGGACCACAACTTCGGAAGATGTCTCTTTTTTCATCCGCTGATGGAGCCATGGGATCGTCGGTGACTTCGGCATCGACACGACTGGTCGCGGATGAGGGGGAGATGGGCTTGGACTTGATGGACATCCCGAAGGGCTTGATCCAAAGGAGACGGACCAAAAGGGTCAAACCAGACCGACATGACCGACTCGAGGACAGCGGTTGGAGTGGAAAAGGTAAGGGTTCCGGGTTAGCATCAGGGTTTCAAAAAATATCCCCAAACAGAAAGGGTTACCCAAAAAAGAGCACCATGTCCTCAGAAACCCAAAACATGAGTACTACCACAAGGGGAACTTCGTTGGAACATGTTGCTGGTGACTTGGAAAGTTTTGATGGTGAACGGGGTGCAGTTTTGACTTCATTGCGGCCTGGTTCAAACATAGACGGACAACCTCCACCTGCTCTGCGCTTCTTTGCGGTGATGAGCGATGGTGGAGAAGATCAAGGTGATCGTGGTCGACAAGAAGATCGTGATGATCGACTAGACCGCGATGTCCCTGGCAAATTGTTTGAAAGATGCCCGGGGAAACCAAAGCCGAAGAGGGTGAGTCTCAAACCGGTTCCCTCATTGGTGACGTTGAGACCGGCATCGCAAGTGTCACGGGTGCCAGATGATGAGGGGCACGGCGTGGAAGAATCATCCCAGGATGAGGAAAACGAGGGCATCAGGCGCGTGGTGTTGGACGATGAGAAGGGCTTCTCTTCAGGGGATGATGCAGTACCAGTGCGGACGGTTCAGACGCAGGAAGGCCAAGCCTCAAGCAGTGCTGGACTAGGTGCTGGGAAATCGGAACAAGGAGAAGATCAACTACATGGAGAAGCACTACGACCTGGAGATGCCGAAAAAGGTGAGGTCCTGAAACAAGAAGGACCCAAGCTGAAGAAGTACCGCAGGGTACGGGTGAAGAAACAAGTGACGCAGTTGGAGAAAGACATCAAGGAGTTGCAGAACGCAGGAAAAACAAGGAATGAAAAGATGGCATACCTTCGACGTCTACAACGAGAGCGGCAAGAGCGGCAAGCAGCTGGGAAGCCTCTTGGACAAGTAGACCTACCAGAGTCAAAGGAACCTCAGGAGAACAAAAAATCTGAGGAAAACAAAGCTGAGGTGACAGAAGAACCTCAACCAAGGACGCCGTCGCCATCTTCGGTGGATTGGAAAGCTGCTGAGGAGGAGACGGAAAGGCAGTTTGCGGAGGCGAAAGCAGCAGGCCGCAGAATCCTCTCTTACGAGGAATGGGACAAAGAGCGCAAGGAGAAGAATGAGAACTTGCGCCAAGCAGCACTGCGGAGGTCATGGCTGGATCGAGAAATTGCCCGCAGAGCTCTGCAACAAGAAAGAGGTGAAACCAGAGAAGCAGTTCTGAGGAGCACAACGGCATCGGCATCTGGACCGCTTACAGATGAGGAGTGGGGACAAATGCAACAGATGATGAAAAGGTTGCCATCAGCACCTCCATGGCAGTGTGAGATGCCCAAAAAGGATGAAGAGCAGCCGCAAGACAAAAGGGCCAAAACGGTCCAGAAGGACCCAAAGCACGGGATGCCGCCACCACAGCCGGATTTGCCGGCACCACCTCCGCAGGGATATGCTGGAGTTTGGAGAGGTGGATGTTGTCCTGGCTTTCGTTGGCAAGGGGCGCAACAAGGTCACCATGGACCACAAGCACCTCACGGACAACAAGGGTTTGCACCTGGATGTGGAGGGCAACAACACCAAGGACCTCCAAGAGGACCTCAAGGCTTTCATCCAGGACTACAAGGGCAAGCACCAGCGCAACAAAGCATGTCGCTGGACCTTGGGCCAGTGAGATATAGGTCTCCTGAAGAACTGGCAGAAGCAACGGTATGGTTGGAACGACAGCGTGGCGGCCCTGAAGTGGATCTTCGCACACCGGGCGATGTGGTTCGGCATGACTTGGCGATGGCAATGGCGAAGTCAAGGGCAAAAGCTGGAATGCCGACACCACCACCAGCAAGGATGGTAAGTCCGCCTCAACGAGAAGTTCCTGCACCGCCGCCGGAACAACAACAAGAACAAGGTAGAGGTGAAGATGCTGGAGAATCTCTTCTACAGAGAATCCTCAGGTTGGCTGGCGATGGACCAATATGTGGGGGAACTCCGCCATCGACGCCAAGGGTGCCTTCACCGTCGACACTGTCGAGCACCTCAGAGGCTGAGATCTTGGAGGTGCCATACGACGAAACCAGTGCGGCTCAAAACGAGCAGATGGCCTTGCGACCTAAGGCTCGTCCTCTTCAGAGGGACCCCAGGCATGGGGCGATGGCTGCAACTGGTGGTGATGGTGGACGAGATGGCCCTGGAGACGGGGATGACCCACGGCGCAATGACAGAGCAATCCCAGAACCTGAAGCAGAGGACGATGAGGATGACTCTGTGGAAGGGACGGCCACCCAGGAGTTCATGTATCGGATGAAAAGAAGATCCGATGAGCTGACGGGACGGAAGAACAAGTTCCAGGTCGGCAAGAGCTCTGCATGGGAGCCCCAGAAGCTCCGAAAGGGGCGTGGCCACACGGTCAGATGGTGGCCGGAGCGTCGTGGCAAGGGCACCAGGGGTGAGGATTCCACAATAACCCACTCGCTGACGAGCCCTACGACGGGATGGCAGCGCATCTATGCGAAGGGAAAGCAGCCAAGGGCCCTTCGCGTCTCCAACCAAGGGGGCAAAGGCAGTGGGGGCCGCATCGTCCTGCAAGGCAAGGGCGCAAACCCAGCGGCCGAACTGCAACTGGCGCAGTCGCTGAGCCGGGCAGCCGCCGCGGTACGGCGAGCTGAAAGCGCCGTGGCCACCCATGGGAATGGCAGCGAAGGGGCAGAAGCAGCCTATGAAGAGGCGGCTATGGCGGTGAACCAGTACTTGCATGCGGATGCAATCCTACACCCGCCAACTGGCGCTTCAAGCTCCAGCGCAGCACCTTCGAGCTCAAGCGCAGCCCCAGTGGGAAGAGGAGCTGCCAATCTGGGTCTGGAAGCCTACCGTGACTTCCTTCAGGCCAAGGGCAAGGGCAAGACAAGCCGAGCCCATGCAGATGCAGCTGCAGATGAAGAAGGATCTGACCCAGACGCGGATCCGGAGGACGAGAACTATGAAGAGGAGATTGAAGAAGAAGAAGAACATGGTGATGATGGGGACTACGTCGAGGTGGAGCTCGAGGTGATCCTTGAAGAAGACCATGAAGGTCATGATGCAGCAGAGGGTCCAGCCACAGAGGACCAAGAAGATGCAGGTTGTGATGAAGATGGACCTGAAGCGCATGGCCCAGAAAACAACGAAGAAGAAGAACGCCATGAGGACGATCCGGACTACAGCGCGGAAGAGGAGTTCGTCCATGAAGAGCACAGCTGAGAGAAGCCTTGGGCCTGACTGGCCAATAGTGACGGGCTTAGTCTTTAAAGCCCATAGAAGTTTTCCAAGGCCTCGTGTTTAAGGCCCGTAGGGTTGCACGTGGTCTAGTCTCTAAGACCAGTAGAGACCTTTTGAAGGCCTAGTGTTTAAGGCCAACAATGGAATGGTGGCAGCCAGGGGAGTCTATCAAAGATAAGACTCAGGGCGTTTTGGCCACCTTCGTAGCCGAACTGGCACCGTGCACCCAAAAAGTTTGGCAAACTGCCAAAGGGGGAGTGCATGGAGTATTTTAGATGCTGACCTTTTGGCTATGATCAAGAGTAGTATCTGACACAACTGACATGACTGTGGTAGGTAACAACCACCTCCTACCGCAGGCTTCTTTAGCCCCAAATCAAAAAGGTGCTCACGCTGCTCCGCAAGCAGTCTGAAAATGGGGTGTAGCCTCCAAATGGCTATTTAAATGGGAATCATGCTCATGATCCAGTGGAATTAGGGATCCTGATTTTCAGACAAACCCATATGAATGATATCTGATAAGATGGATGGAATGATAAGAATACTGAAGACGTCATTTTTTCTTTTGTAATGATGGACTTTTAGCAAGGACATGGTTGACTTTTAAGGTGATTTGAATCACTGAAGGGAAACCATCCCTTGGGTTTCAGAGGAATCATCATGAACCCAGAAATGGGGAAATGGGAAAGACGAATTGCAATCTCAATAATGTTGAACTACTAGACCCAATATATAATCATAGATAATTTAGAAAACAACTTGGGTCTCTTTTATGATGATAGATTTATAAACTACTAGATTTTGGCCTAATTCTCAGATTTGCCCAAGTGGTGCTCTCGAAAAGCGCAGCTGGACAGTGCCAGGCAGCACCACTCAGGGTGATCTTCCTTGAATCCCTGTGCACAGACGCCAAGAGCCTTGGCTCCAATGAAGATGAGGAAAGTCGTTTAACACTGAGACGTCGAACAGTTTTGGGAGGATGTGATCAATGTGATCCATATCGTAAGTCGGGTTTCAGAGGGTTTCAGTCTGCAACCCCCAAGAGTTCGGAATTTTCTGTGGGCAACAGTTGGAAAGGAGAGGATGCCTTTTTTGTTGGATATGAATCGAAGGAAGCAATGGGGATGCCTCGGAGTTCTTGGGACCACTGCCCCCGATGGTCACCCAGGATCTTGCAGGACAATTACCAGATGAAACTGAGCAACGACGATTACAAAGGCCGTTGTTTCAGTGGGAGCATCTGTGTTTGGTGGTTGACTGTCACGAAGTCACCAGTCGCAAGAGTTTCCAGGTGCAGAGAGTTCCGCTGCCCTGGATGATTTTAAGAAGAGAGTCGAGGCTTACGAGGTGCAGTACGAGCCCCTTCAGGTGCCCGGGAGTTGTGGGGAAGAAATGGAAAAGAAATGGGGGGAGAAGGCGCGAACATGTCCCTGGTGAGAATTGCTGAAGAACTCGGGATATCAATACATAGCCAGACAATGGGCTTGTCTGGTAGATGGGCAGGTCTAAATTCCAAAGTATGCAAAGCTTGGATTGTGGTCATTCTGGATCAGACTATCCCGTTTTTTGGGGTACCCAACGACTTGACGCACCAGATGGAGTTCACTCCAGGAAAGCGAGCTGGATCTGTTGCAAAACAGACAGAGTAGCGTTGCAATGCCTGTGGGTTCCGTTCAGATGCTCGGACTGGTGAAAATTTGAGTGTGTCTGAAAATGGAGGATGTACTAGATATACCCCAATCTGTTGTAGTCTGATTTCGAAAGATGATCTATCTATCTATACATTTTCAGACCCATATGGAGGCTTCCAATGATAATTATCACTATAGCCAATGGGGTTTATAAATCAATCATAGTTACCATACTGAGCATGAAACTTGGTTTAAGAACCCCAGATATGTATGTATGTATGTATGTAATGTAATGTGATGTGATGTAATGTAATGTAATGTAATGTAATGTATGTAATGTATGTATGTAATGTATGTATGGAATGTATGTATGTAATGTATGTATGTAATGTATATATGTAATGTATGTATGTAATGTATGTATGTAATGTATGTAATGTATGTATGTAATGTATGTATGTATGTTTGTATGTATGTATGTATGTAATGTATGTAATGTATGTATGTATATATATATATATGTATGTATGTATGTATGTAAGTATGTATGTATGTAAGTATGTATGTATGTAATGTAATGTAATGTAATGTAATGTAATGTAATGTAATGTCATGTATGTATGTATGTATGTATGTATGTATATATATATACACATGTGTGTATATAAATATATACATACATACATACATACATACATACATGGATACATAGATACATAGATACATCAATACATACATAGGTGCATAGATACATACGTGCATACATGCATACATAGATAGATAGATAGATAGATAGATAGATTAGATAGATAGATACATAGAGACAACGATGCATAGATACATAGATACATCGAATCATAGATAGATATATAGATACATAGATAGATAGATAGATAGATAGATTAGATTAGATTAGATTGGATTAGATTAGATTAGATTAGATAGATAGATAGATAGATAGATATATAGATAGATAGATAGACAGATACATACATACCTAGATACATAGATACATAGATCCATACACACCTCCATACATGCATGCATGCATGGTGCATGCATACCTACCTACCTACCTACCTACCTGCCTGCCTACCTACCTACCTACACACATACATACATACATACATACATACATACATACATACATACATACATACATACATACATACATACATGTGTGTATATATATATATATATAGATAGATAGGAAGAAATATAGATGGATAAATAGATGGATATATTATTAATAGATTAGATAGATAGATAGATAGATGGATAGATAGATAGATTAGATTAGATTAGATTAGATTAGATTAGATAGATTAGAATAGGTAGATAGGTAGATAGATAGATAGACAGATAGACAGATAGATAGATAGATAGATGGATAGATGGATAGATGGATAGATGGATAGATGGATAGATGGATAGATGGATAGATGGATAGATGGATAGATGGATAGACGGATAGACGGATAGACGGATAGATGGATAGATGGATAGATGGATAGATGGATAGATGGATAGATGGATAGATGGATAGATGGATAGATGGATAGATGGATAGATGGATAGATAGATGGATACATAGATAGATAGATAGATAGATAGATAGGGAGATAGATAGATAGATAGATAGATAGATCGATCCATCGATGGATAGATAGATCGATCGCTCGATGGATAGATAGATAGATAGATAGATAGATAAGTAGATAGAAAGATAGATAGCTAGGTAGATAGATAGATAGATAGATAGATAAGATTATATATAGATAAGATAAGATAGATAGATGAGATTAGATAGATAGATAAGATAGATAAGACATATAGATCAGATTATATATATGTATAGATAAGAGAAGATAGATAGATAAGATTAGATAGATAGATAAGATTAGTTAGATAGATAGATAAGATTAGATGGATAAGATTAGATAGATAGATAAGATTAGATAGATGGATAATATTAGATAGATGGAAAATATTAGATAGGTGGATAAGATTAGATAGATGGATAAGATTAGATAGATTGAAATTACTAGATAGATGGATAATATTAGATAGATAGATAAGATAAGATAGATAGATAAGATAAGATAGATAGATAGATACGATTAGATAGATAGATAGCTAAGATTAGATAGATGGATAAGATCAGATAGATAGATAAGATTAGATAGATAGATAGGATTAGATAGATGAACAAGATTAGATAGATAGATAGGATTAGATAGATGGATAAGATTAGATAGATGGACAAGATTAGATAGATGGATAAGATTAGATAGATAGATAGGATTTAGATAGATGGATAAGATTAGATAGATGGATAAGATTAGATAGATGGATAAGATTAGATAGATGGAAAATATTAGATAGATAGATAAGATTAGATAGATAGATAGGATTAGATAGATGGATAAGATTAGATAGATGGATAAGATTAGATAGATGGATAAGATTAGATAGATGGATAAGATCAGAAAGATAGATAAGACTAGATAGATAGATAGGATTAGATAGATGGATAAGATTAGATAGATAGATAGGATTAGATAGATGGATAAGATTAGATAGATGGATAAGATTAGATAGATGGATAAGATTAGATAGATGGATAATATTAGATAGATAGATAAGATTGGATAGATAGATAGGAATAGATAGATGGATAAGATTAGATAGATAGATAGGATTAGATAGATGGATAAGATTAGATAGATGGATAAGATTAGATAGATGGATCGATAGATAGATAGATAGATAGATAGGTAGGTAGGTAGGTAGATAGGTAGATAGGTAGATAGGTAGATAGGTAGATAGGTAGATAGGTAGATAGGTAGATAGGTAGATAGATAGATATATAGATCGATAGATCGATAGATCGATAGATCGATCGATCGATCGAGAGATAGGCAGATAGACAGATAGACAGATAGATAGATAGATAGGTAGGTAGATAGATAGATATACATGCTTATAATGCATTGGAATTGGGATGTTTCCCCAAACAAAAAATCAGACATGGCGCCGAGAATCTACGACGGTGGGCAGAAGATCAGCTGCTGTCGCACGGGGTCGTCGCTGGTGGCAGCGCCACTGATCTCGTTGCTACATGCCATGCATCTGACCAGGCGTGGGGCCTGGGGAAGGGCGAGGGCTCCTGTTTAAACTTGAAACGTTTACGGGAATATGGGTATAGACGGTATAGATTAAAACCATTTACCATATATATATACATATGGGATGAAACTTCATTTACCAACTGGTCTTCACTGAGGGTGCAGGGTTTTGATTCATATCCAGATAGGTTGATTTTTTTTGGGAGGGTGTGGTTTCAAGACTATTTAGTAGTCTGACTTAGGGATGATTGGAAATGGGAGATCAAGAGGGATGAAATGGGGGATTTAACAAAGAAGAATGAGCTGTTTGGCTAAACAGAATGGGAATATATGTTTTGATGGTTAGTTGGATGATTCCTGAGGGAATCTGATGGGTGGAACATGTTGAGCCATACTGTGGCTGTTTCAATCTAAGGAGGTGACATTCGGAGTCCCCAATGACATAACCATGCCCCGTTTGAAACCTGAAGGGAGTCACCCCCCAACAAGTTCTGAATTGCTAGTTGCCATTGAAACCTTCAATTCAACCAACCCAGGGAGATTCATTTGGAGTTGGATACTATTGATACTATGTTACTATGTTCTCTTCACAGGGTTCCCACCATTGGACAACATTTTCCCAGAAATTGGATGGGACAAACCCATGGCTTTCGACGTCAATACCTCCTGGACGATTCGGACATGAATCGCACCGCAAATGGGGGGCATCCTTCAACGCCTGAGGCGCCAGATCTTGTTGGCGCCCGAAACGGACCTCAACGGTGTAGGCCTGCCACCTCAGTGCTTCGCAGAGATCCTGAAGCGTGAAGAAGAGAAGGACGTCCCATCATTTGGGGACTTTCTGCGCTTGATTGGGTTTCATGGTTCCTTTGGTTAAGAATTGTTCTTATTTACAGTTATGGCCCGAAATACCTGTTAAAGTACAAAGAAACCCCGTTTGTGGCATGAAGAAAAATCCCATTTATCACCAGTTATAACCAATATATGGCCATAACTGTGGGATATTATGGGATGTAGATCACCAACTTGATAAGTTTTTGGCTGTTTGAGAATGCGGTACCCCAATCAATGGCACTTTGAAGCTTTCCCGCGGCAGTTTGGAGCTTCCCATGGCAGCCAAAAGAAGTGCCCATGGCAGCCAAAAGAAGTGCTATTTTTTGACAAATGATTCGCGATGTTTGTTTTGGTGAATATTTTTATGATGCTCCAGACGTCTGAGTCTTTGGTGGCTTTGCTGAAACATCCGATAGGTCCGTTTGAAGGGCTCATCTTCTGAATGACTCCAACCGGTGGCGATTTTTTCAGGTTGAAACCTCCAGTTCATCCACAACTGATACCCTCTGGTAAACTAACATAACTATGGAACATCATCATTTTTAATGTGTAAATCAACTATAAATGGCCATTTTCAATAGCTATGTTAAATTACCGGAGAGTAGTGGGACAGTTTGTACTGTTGTTTTCAGAACGTTTCAAGCATTTGTTTGGGATTTTTCGAGAAGATCTTCTCCCCAATGCATCTTTTTTCACTGGGTGGCTCAACCGCCAGTCCCAACCCTCAACCACCGCTAAATTCACTTTGGATCTCTGTTTGCCAGCTCAGTTCAACAGATGGCAATGGGTGTTTCCCCCCACAAAAAAGGGGAATTCATTAATTTCCCGTATGCAGGAGAGTCGTGTCATGGATGTGATTTGTGGTACTTCCAAGCACGCGGTGAGGATTGCGCAAGAGTTGTCCAAGGTGCCAAGAGTTGGTCAAGTCTTACATGTGTTTTTTTTTCCTAGCAAACGGACCAACAATGACAAACACGTCCAAAGAAGTTGAGTGAAAGATTGCGAAAGCCATAGGTTGTATAGGTTGTATTGTACGTTCAGCTTTGTCTCCTCTTTGGCGGGTCAGTTGAAACTCAACAGCAATTCTCTAGGTTTCAGCAATCAGCCAGGAAGTAAAACTCTTGCGCTGCTAGACTTCACCAACGCCCGGACCTAACCTCGACCAAGCCCAATATTTCTGGATGGTTTAGGCGCAATCATGCCAAAAAAATCCGAGAGTCCGAATTCTTCTACTCTTCCCAGAAATTTCACCTGGAAACCGAGAGTTTTCTCAAACTGAAAAAAAAGCAGAAAACCAAACTGAAGATCAAACAACTGCAAAAACAACTGAAAAATCAATCAATCAAGATTTCCAATCTCTGGCCAGCAAAGAATCTCATAAGACATATTCTTTTTTTTCATTCCAAGAATCATCCTGAAAAGCATTTTTTTTTTAAAAAGTATCTTGTGTAGCCCCGCGCCTGGGGCAAAGAACTGATCTTCCCACAAAAGGGCCCCATGACTATCCTATGCAACTCGACCATATGGCCAGTCGGAAAATCGAACATTTAATCCAGTTGATGATTTTCTCATATACACATACCATAACATAACATGTCACGACATAACATAACATCACATCTCATCACATTACATTACATTTCACATATATATATATATGCATATATATATATGTACTTACGTTTACGTGGGTAAACACGAGAATTCCCGCATTACTTTCTGTAGCTCTGGCTTTCAGTGAAGTATTTCGATTCGAACAGTTCACACTGCCTACGGGGGATGGCGGTGAGCCAGCTGCAACATCTTGAAACTTTGTTCGTTAAGACTGGATGGCTGTTGGCACAAGGCGAAGCTGTCAACAAAAAGGATGCCCAGGCTATGGTGAATTGCACGAAGTTGAAGCAAAGCCGAAACCTGTATATACTCCTTGGACGCGTTCGTGGTGACTCCGATGTCGAAGCCTTGGATTTGCAAATCCCATGGAAAGGACAAGCGGCAAACAAACGCAGAGGCATGTGAGTTTCATCTCTGTCATAGTTTTAAAAGAGATGACTCCATTTTCGTGTCGCTCTTCTGGGACCATGACGTCAGCAGCACTCCATCGGGCAGACACAAAAAGTACCAGAAGATCGCTTCAGGAAGAAGCCGCTGATCTACACTACTTGATTTGCCTATTTGCTTTGAACCCACAACGCGTCCGGGAAGTAATCACTAGCAGGGCAGGGGCTATTCAATGCGGCACTGGCTCAAGCCACTGGTGGTGCAGCGATGGTCTTTGATGAAGAGATCTTGCCGTGCAAAAAGGGAAGGCCCCGCAACAAATCAAGGATCGCCACGCCTTCAACTGGTTGCAAAAGGAGCTCCTATCCAGCCCGTTGAGGATATGGCCAAGGCTAAGTAGAATGTTGTCAGCCCGCCGGGAAAGGAACAAGGGTGTTCATCCTGGGAAAAGCCAAGATACAGAATCATTGGACAGAAGAGATAGGACTAAAGGGAGACAGAGCTCTCCCAGGTTTAGAAGGAGACATCAAGAGAAGGAAAAGGAAGCAAAGGAGCCTCGATGAAGCAACACACGGGAGGTCAGCCTGCCTCCCAGGGCCTCCAGCGAGGAGAGGCTGGAGAGGTGAGATCACCAAATGGTAAAGCAAGAGCGGCTTAATCGTTAATTGTTATCTATCGTGGAAAGGATGAAGGGAGGAGGCTACTATATGTCTCCTAAAATGTCGTTGAAGAGACCAGCATGGAGCAAGAGGAGAGAAGACGCATCCAGCACAAGCAGCAAGCTTCCTGGAATTTCTTAGCATGAAGGGAGTGAACGATGAGATTGCTCCCAAAGCGGCTTGAAGGAGACCAGCTGCTTTCAGAAATAGTTGTGACTGAGATCTTGTCCATAAGGATGAAAGGGCCCTGAAGAGTGAAGGGAGGCCATGTCTCCCAAACCGTCGTGGAGGAGACCAGCGTTTACGCGCACAGCAGGGACCTGCAAGGGCGTGAAGCAAGAGGAGAAGAAACGCATCCAGCACAAGCAGCAAGCTTCCTGGAAGTTCTCAGCATGAAGGGAGTGAACGATGAGATTGCTCCCAAAGCGACTTGAAGGAGACCAGCTGCTTTCAGAAATAGTTGTGACTGAGATCTTGTCCATAAGGATGAAAGGGCTCTGAAGAGTGAAGGGAGGCCATGTCTCCCAAACCGTCGTGGAGGAGACCAGCGTTTACGCGCACAGCCGGGACCTGCAAGGGCGTGGAGCAAGAGGAGAAGAAACGCATCCAGCACAAGCAGCAAGCTTCCTGGAAGTTCTCAGCATGAAGGGAGTGAACGGCGGGATTGCTCCCAAAGCGACTTGACGGAGACCAGCTGCCTTCAAAGACAGTTATCATTGAGGTTTTGTCCACAAGGATGGCTTTGAAGAGCACAAACCCGCAATGGCGTAGTGCCAGAGGAGAGAAGACGCATCCATCACAAGCAGCAAGCTTCGTGGAACTTTTCAACATAAGGGAGTGAGGGGTGAGATTACTCCCAAAGTGACTTGAAGGAGACCAGCTGCTTTCGGAGAGTGTTGTGATTGAGATTTTGTCCATAAGGACGCAAGGGCTCTTAAGAGTGAAGGGAGGGTATTTCTCCCAAAGCATCGTTGAGGAGACCAGCCTTTACGTACCCGGCAGAGAGAAGACGCATTCAGCACAAGCAGCAAGCTTTTTGGAATTTCACAGCATGCAGGAAGTGAAATGACGGGATTGCTCCCAAAGCGTCTTGACGGAGACCACCTGCTTTCAAAGACAGTTATGATCGAGAATTTGTCCATGAGGATGGCTTTGAAGAGTGAAGGGAGGCTATGTCTCCCAAAGCGTCGTTGAAGAGATCAGCCGTTACGCGCACAGCAGGGACCTGCAAGGGCGTGGTGCAAGAGGAGAGAAAACGCATCCAGCACAAGCAGCAAGCTTCCCGGCATTTCTCAACATGAAGGGAGTGAGATTACTCCCGAAGTACTTTAAGGAGACCAGCCGCCTTCAGATATAAGAGATAGTTGCAACTGAGATCTTGTCCATAAGGATGCAAGGGCTTTTAAGAGTGGAGGATTACTATGTCTTTCAAATCACCGTTGACAAAGCCAGCTTTTAAAATCACATAGCGGAGGTCGAAAACAAAAGAGTTGAGCAAAAAGGAATCGGCGCGTCCAGCGCATGAAGCAAGCGTACTGAAACTTCTCAACCTAAGGGGGGCGAAAGTGCTCCCAAAGTAACTTGGAGAAGGCAAGGACTTGAAAGGCCCTTATTAGAAGATAAAGGCAGCCTATGAATTACCAAGGCGGCGTTGCCGAGACAAGCTTTCTTTCACACATCAAGAGGTCGTGAACAGACGCGTGGACCAAGGAGGAACAAGTTTTCCTAAACTTTTCAACACGAGGGAAGCGAACTTGCTCCCAAAACAATTGGAGGAGGCAGCGATTTGAAGAACCTTTGAAGAACAAAGGGGCCTATGATTCCCAGAGCGGCATTGCGGAGGCCAGCCTTCTTATGCACAAGCACAGGTCGTTAAAGGCATGGAGCAAGGGGAGAGATCCAGCGTCCAGCGCATGCAGCAAACTGACCGAAACTTCTCAAACTGAGGGGAGCGAAAGTGCTCCCAAAGCAACTTGGAGGAGGCAAAGACTTGAAGAGGCCTTATTAAAAGATAAAGGGAGTCTATGATTCCCAAGGCGGCGTTGGCAAGTTTACTTAAACCTTTTAACATAAGGGGAGCGAAGTTGCTCCCAACGCAGCTTCGAGGATGCAAGGACTTGAAGAGCCATTAAAGGGTAAGAAGGGTGACTAATCTCACAAAGCGGCATTGAGGAGACCAGCCTTCTTACGCACCAGGCAGAGGTCGCCCAATGCGTGGAGCAAGGGGAAGCCTCCCTTAGCCTTAATCGAAGTCCCCAATCACGATCAAGAAGATTTGGACATAGGAACGAAAGGCTTTCTTGGCAGTTTGATAAGTCAGAGGGAGAAAGAGAAGCTTTCGCCAGGGCCTAGTACCAGCTTTCACGTACAGCGAGTTGTGTGCGAAGTCAGCCAGGACTAGGAGGGCTAGAAGCGCTTCGTGAGGAAGAGCGGAGCTTCAACAAATCGGGCTCAAGCCCAGTGCTCTCGCCGCATGGGAGACAAGCCAATTCTCCCAGAGAGGACGCGGAGGAATTTGAGATGGAGCAAATCTTTCACAGCAAGGAGACCGGCATGGACCCAGGGACCCAGATCCCAACAAGAGGAACTGACTTCTGAGGAGAGAAAGAATAGGCAAAAAAGGTGAAGCGATCTTCTTAGAAGGTGATGCCATTCTGGGCGCAGTTCAAGGGGAAGAAGAGCTGAAGACGTTGGTGAGAAGATGCCAAGAAAGCAAGGGAGGTGAATCCTCCCAGGGGAAGCCGAGGCAACTTGAGAAGGTAAGGGTGATGTGAGGTGAGAGCTGGAAGCATCAGGCTCCAACCAGGATGTGGGAAGCATGTTCATTGATGAGGGAACGATGCAAATACAGGGGAGTCACTGCGGGGCTCTAGGGACTCCCATCCAATGCAAGCGTTAGTTGATGAGGGGAGCTGTGCAGATAGGTTGGTGGCTCCCAGAGGCTCATCAAGACGCGGTGGTCCTCATTGGATTGCAGGTTGCAGAGGTGAGTAGTAACCACTGTAACCACTACACAGCATGTTGGAAGATGCCCTGATGCTTTTGGAGCAAGCTAAAAAATGCAGGCCAAGGTCCATGGCAGGAATTGGCGATAGTTCTCCTCCTCCTGTCGCAGGGCATCTGTCATGAGCGCCTGAAAATCGTGAAAGGGACTGTCTTTGACCTTGGCGCGATCAAAGGATTAAGAAAATAGTAGGTGATTTGTTCTTACTTTTGGATGGCTGTGCCACGGGACCCAACCCTTTAACTGTGTTCACGATAAGGTTGTGCATTAAATTGCAGCAGCGGAGTCTTGCTCTACAAGTCTCTGTAAAAAGTTTTGCCACGTCGTTGCACCCCAAACTCAATCTTCTGGAGTTCTAGAATCTGGTGCAGGAGAGGTCCTGTACAGGTCAGTATAGCTTGATGAGGTTATCCTGCCAAGGGTAGAGCAGCGAGCGCAATAGTTACTTCTTTTGTTGGGGTAAAGGCTTGGTTGAAGTGGGAAGAGCTGGCTTGCATGTGATTGGTGTTTCCATGGGTTTGTAATTAGCGTGTTTCCCGGGCCCGCTTGCCTCATATCGATTCTGGGGCAAGGCAAGATATGTCCTTCAGGGTTATTTCAACTTTGTTTAACATGCAAAATGTACTTTAAAGCATTGTTCTTCCCTAAGCCGCCCACAGTTGGCCAACCTATCGTTTAGGTTTAGCTGCCGGCAGGGGCTACGACTGGCTCATTCAGATCAGATAAGAGGCCGCTTCGGTGAGCCAGGGCTCCATAGGCACCCCAGATCGGTGAAACAGGCCTCGCTTGGGGCAAACGTTCAAGTTGCGACACTTAGCGCTGCAGGTTTGTCATGTCTGAGCTGTTCCGTTTTATTGCGTCGAATTTCCGAAAGCAATGTGAACATCCAGGGAGTGGGATCTCCCAAACGTTCATCATCGACCTCTTAGGCGACATGGCCGCTTGGCAGGGCACAAACGCGCCTTCGAAGCCAAGGGAAAGAAGAGAGGTTATCCGGCGGTTATCTCAAGATTCCTACTATTCCCTTCTTGCCCAGATTCAGTTCTTAAGGATCTTTCTTCCAAATTTTGCCAAAGACTTGTTCCTCAACCTCCTCAACCTCCTCAAGACAAGAACCCCATTAATTGTCTCCCAATGAAAGCCACAATCAAATTGTATGGCTTGGTATCGCTCAAGGGAGATGATGCGGAGAATTGGGTACTAGCTCGTTTTTTTTTTTCGAACTGGGCCTATGTGGATACAAACTAATTTCCTGAAGGTCTCAGCAAGCAGCGAAGAATTGGCTTAGCTTGAACTTGTAATCTTTCCAATTCTAATGATTTGTTCATATCTGCCAGAAGTGTTTCTAGCATTCACTAAATCCGGCAAGCAAAGGTCTTTCTCCTAAATGCAACTGCGGGCACAGAAATAGCCGACGCTTTTCCGTAAAATTTTCAACCCCTCTCACTTTTAAGCCTCAAGTTGAGAATTAAAGGACCGGAAGTTTATTTTTTGTGCCATAAGAATCTCACACGGGACTCACCTCAAATGTGAGTCTTTGGATGTCCTTGGATGAAATTGTGGCCGGCTGGAATTTTTAAGTCCCTTTTTTACTACCAGTCCCAGATTGTTTTCTGCGGTATGGTTCTATGCCATCGCTTGAGCAAGCTCTCTGTGAGAGCAGGACTGGGGGACGTGGAATAGGAGCGCAAAGCGCAAAAAAGATGCGAAGATAAGGGGGGAGGGCCCCCAAATTTTTCAAATGCCATGAGTATTTCGTTGTTTGGAATGGTTTAGACTTGTCTTGTGTCTCGCGCTGGGTTTCCCTCGGTCTGGCGAGGACCCCAGGGGGCACGGGCAGTATTATACTGGACCCATAAGAAGGCGGGGAGATCATCCGCTGACAGTCTAAACATTCGTTTTACCACCGACCTTTTTTTTCAATGCAATGTTTTTCTGTGTATAGAATGTTCTAGACCTGTCTTGTGTCGCGCGCTGGGTTGCCCTCGGTGTGGCGAGGACCCCAGGGGGCACCAATAGAAGAAAGAAGGCGGAGAGACCTTCTGATGACAGTCTAAACATTCGTATACTGCCAAATTTTAAATACAATTTTCTCTGTTTTGAATGTTTTAGACGTGTCTTGTGTCGCGGGCCTGGGCCTCCCTCGGTGTGGCGAGGACCCCAGGGGGCACGAAAAGAAGGTGGGGGAAACCTTCAATGACAGTCTAAACATTCGTTGCCGTTTCCATTATTGTTTAATCTGACAAAATTGGCCTGCATAGCAAAGTAAAACAGGGAGTTGCGAGTGTTTGTACTTACGTTTACGTGGGTAAACACGAGAATTCCCGCATTACTTTCTGTAGCTCTGGCTTTCAGTCCCAAACCCCCCCTCCCAAGCGAGGAGCGCAAAGCGCAAAAAAGATGCGAAGATAAGGGAGGAGGGCCCCCAAATTTTTCAAATGCCATGAGTATTTCGTTGTTTGGAATGGTTTAGACTTGTCTTGTGTCTCGCGCTGGGTTTCCCTCGGTCTGGCGAGGACCCCAGGGGGCACGGGCAGTATTATACTGGACCCATAAGAAGGCGGGGAGACCATCCGCTGACAGTCTAAACATTCGTTTTACCACCGACCTTTTTTTCAATGCGATGTTTTTCTGTGTATATAGAATGTTCTAGACCTGTCTTGTGTCGCGCGCTGGGTTGCCCTCGGTGTGGCGAGGACCCCAGGGGGCACCAATAGAAGAAAGAAGGCGGAGAGACCTTCTGATGACAGTCTAAACATTCGTATACTGCCAAATTTTAAATACAATTTTCTCTGTTTTGAATGTTTTAGACGTGTCTTGTGTCGCGGGCCTGGGCTTCCCTCGGTGTGGCGAGGACCCCAGGGGGCACGAAAAGAAGGTGGGGGAAACCTTCAATGACAGTCTAAACATTCGTTGCCGTTTCCATTATTGTTTAATCTGACAAAATTGGCCTGCATAGCAAAGTAAAACAGGGAGTTGCGAGTGTTTATATATACATATATATATACATATATATATATACATATATATATATATACATACATATATATATATATATACATACATATATATATATATACATATATATAGACATACATACACACTGTATACGATGGATGCCAATGTTTGATGGGGATCCTCCAAGATCTCAGGTGGACCGCGCCGCTGCGGTGAGTCGTTCCCAGCGCCCGCGCTGCGTGCTGAACCTCCGTGCGCTGCAGGGCCGCACCAGCGAGGGATCGGCCGACGGCTCGGCGGCGGCGGAGAACTACGCGGACCTCGTGCGGCGGATGCGGGCGGAGGCGCGGCCTCCATATGGGTCCCTGTTTGAAGTGTTGATGATAGAGGGTACCTCTGGTAATTTAACAGTTTGCTATTGAAAATGGCCATTTATAGTGAGTTTTCCCATTAAAAATGGTGATTTTCCATAGTTATGTTAGTTTACCAGAGGGTACCCTCTGGTGAACATGCAAAAAAACTATGGAACATCACCATTCTTCATGGGTAAATCAACCACCCCAATGGCCATCTTCAATAGCTATGTTAGTTTTACCAGAGGGCAAGCGGTGATGATAGGGATCAGTGGTGGTAATGGGAAATCCTCCACAGGGGACAGGGAAAAACCCACCTATAGATGGATAGGGACTTAACCACCACAATAGGGGGCTATTAGTGGTTAAGAATGATGATGATAAATGACGACTAGTGATGATTGATGATGAGTGGTTCATTACCGATGACCTGAGAGTATTCTTGGAATTCTACCAAGCATTATCGATGATGATCCCCGATGGCTCCTGTTTTTCGAAATTGACACCACCAACCGGGCGTGTTTTAATACTTTGCGAATCATTTGAGTCAGGAAGTGGTGATCAGAATTGTGGTGATCCGAAGTAGTTCCCAATTCGTGGCCCCACAAAAACTCGCCAGGTAGCTGGGATGATCCTCCAAGTAGGGCTTCCAGTTCGGGGGGTTCATGATCCCAAATAGCCTCCAGTCAACGAACATAGCGAACTGAAAATCCATGGCTTTCCCCATGGAAATCATCCATAGAAAACAACAAAAACAATCTGTATTTATCCTCTGGTAATCAAACATGGCAATGGAACATCAAATATTTATCGATGAGTTCCCATTAAGACTTTTATTTATAGCGGATTTATGCGGATTTTCCATGGCTATGTCAGTTTACTGGAGGGTATAATCGACTATAATCCTATTTCTTAAACCATGAAGATTGGTCTCCAAGCAGAGCCGCAGCTGAGGAGTATAACCTTAGTTGACCCTCGCGAAATGCTAGTTATACCCCAGTTATATTGGGATACATAATCATATTATAGAATGTATATATATATATACATATGTATGTATATGTATATAATCACATATATATATAATCATATATATATAATCATATATATATAATCATATATATATATATACATATAATAATATACTAATATATACATATATATATAGTAATATAATATATACATATGTATTATAATACATATATATATATATACACATACACATTGTAAACACATATATGTGTATATATATATATGTACACACACACACATACATGATATATTTTTGATACGTTTTGTGAGCCCATAAGGGTGTTCAAGGCCCGTCTTGATTTTTCTCACTGAATAAATGGAACAACCAGGTCCTGCTCCTCTTGGAGCGTTTGCCTCGCTCAGTGCTGGTGATTTGTCCTGGAGAGGATGTGTCGCCTAGCTGCACATTTTTGGATGCATGAAGTGCCGAGTTGGGCCGTAATTTCGTTGTTTGCGTATATTTGGTTTATGTGGACAATTCTGAAATTGTTTTGTGGCTTGTAGAGTTTTTGGAACATGTCTTATGGAATTTCTGATTTCTCTACCTGGCAAGTCATTTTGTGACCTGAAACCAGGAGACAAAGAGGTCGTCTTGAATGGCGTCGTCCAGCTGTATAAAGTCTTCAATTTTGGCAACACCTGGCACATACTCGGTGGATTTTGCAGATTTTGCAGCACAATTTCCCATCTGGGTTGTGAAAGAATTGTGGTTTGCCACATTCTATAGTTAACATTTTTCGACAAGGTTTCAAACATATTAATCATTTTATGTTGAATTATGGTTTCCCATCTAGGCTTCTATGGTTAAGTATTTTGAAACCTCGCTTTTCCAAGTTGACAAAAGGCCGTTGTTTGTAGCCTGCGAGACACTCCAAGGCGGCGTGTACTCTGCGCCCACTTTGTTGGTTGTTCAGAGGTGCTGTCGTGGATGGTGATAGTTTGGGACCACCTAGAAACCACAGGAATTATGAGATCCACGATCCATCTTCGATCATCTTCGTGGGTCATTGGGTATCGCCGGTATAGCCAGTAGACCTGGAAAACCCTTGAGATGATTTAGAATAGCTCAAGGGCTCAGCAATTTCATCCGCCAGAACTCCATCGCGGATTTGGAGATGCCAGCGATGTCGGTCCTTGAGTTGACTCGAGACCACAAGGTCCGCTGGTTGTTTCCTTCTGCTGGCTCTGGCACAGTTCAGCTATGCTATTTGGGGTCGTCTGAAATGGGGAACCCCAAACTTCCATCGTCTTATCATCATTTTTAACAACACGAATACATGAACCAATGATGGTATATCCTCCATCCTTGGTCCCATCCTTTTCATAGTTATTTTTTTCACGGTTGAAAAAAATGATCCCAATGGACTTTCTTGCTGGGCTGGTTGTGTCCGATTTCGACTGAAAGGTTCTCTTCTCAAGAGGCGGTTGGAGTTTCCAACTGAACCAGCCATTTGCACACCATGCCACAGTGGGCTTCTTGCTGATGAATTCCTATAGCCGCTAGTCATGTGCCCTAGCAACCAGATTAGTCATGAAGTCTTAGACTCCATCTCTGGAGGACACAATTGGAACATGTGGGGAACATCATCCATTTGGGGACATCATAGGTGATAGGAAATCATGAAAACCAAATGGATGATATTTGGGGAAATGCTTCAGCAAGAACCAAGGAAATCATGAGAATCAAGATATTTGGGGTACAGCGCCATCGGCCGATGTTTCAGGGCTACTCCTCCGATGAGATTGAGCTTGCCGAGCTGATCCCCCCGCGCCATAGCATCAGTGGCGACTTGGTGTTGGAAAACGCCCCGGTGGGGCGCTTGGGGGTTTTCATAGTGATATACTTGGCATATGGAGGTTTCCAAAGTCATGGGCGATCCCCAATAGCTGGTTGGGTTAAAGTCATGGAAAATCCCAATCGAAAAAATGGGATGATTTAGGGGTACCCGCATTTCAGGAAACCTCCATAGAGGCCAACGTTGGAACATCATGGGATCATAATGGGAGATAATCCTTTGATGAGTTATGGGGTTATACAGTTGTACTACCCTTTGTATATTGGAGATGATCATAATCCACCAGGGGGAATACCAACCAACCAACCAGTATAAAGGGTGGCCCCCCTCCAGTTGTGCTTCAATGCCATAAACCCTCGTGAAATACTGGTGAACTAAGCCAACCTCGCCATCATTTGGGGTGGTTGAGCTTCAACCTCGTGGTCAAAAATCAAGAGTTTTATGGTGCAACAAATATTGGGGAACAATTGATGGCTGATGGGCGTAGTGATGCTTATTTTGGGATGGGTTCAAGGATCCAAAAAAAACATGATCTGCCATTTGGCAGGTCCATTGCTACTTCAAGTTGAGCCATTCCTTTGAGTGTGAAATAGCTTGCATTTTCCAGACTTTTTTTTGGACATGTTTCATGCATTTGGATCATTTGGTAAAACATAGCCCTGGAAAACAGAGGAAATGATAAATCATATAATTACGTTTGTAATTCTACCGTTTCTTCATTTTGATGCAACCAACCTCAAAGCTTACCAACTTCAAACAGCTGTTGATTCTCGGGAAACTCCCACGAGATATGTCCCTTCAGGTCGCCGCATATCTCGCCCCATGGTCATGGGTGCCATGGGCTAAGACGAAGGACTGGGCATGGAGACCCCGACATACATCACAAAGAATGTTTGGACAAAAACTATCAGAATTCAATGTTTTGAACATCATTTCGCCCTTAGCTCAAACTCATATTTTGGAGTATGTCATCCGATGTCTCACTTCTGAACAACTCCACAGTTTGGACGCACGAAGGGGTGCAAAGTTGTTCACCTTTGACATTTCAAAAATCGGAGCCACAGCATGGGGCAGCCAGGCAGCCAAGTCCAATGGGCCAATGGCCAATGACAGTAACGTGTTTTGCCATGAGCCCCTCCTCACCCCCTACAGCCTAGGCTTCCTGGGGGGATGGGTGCGGCCTTCGGCAGATGTTGAATCCCGATGGGCGCATTATGCCTCGTCGTTTCCAGGACCCACAGGACCCGTTCAGTAAGTAGTGAATCACCCACATATAGGATATATTTAAATTCATTTATTCATTCATTCGTTCTTTCATTCATTTACTCATCCATCCATACATTCGTTCATGCATACATTCAGTCACTCACTCCACTCACTCACTCACTCACTCACTCACTCATTCACTCATTCACTCATTCACTCATTCACTCATTCCTTCATTCCTTCATTCCTTCATTCCTTCCATTCCATTCCATTCCATTTCATTTCATTTCATTTCATTCATTCATTCATTCATTCATTGTTTGGTTTATTTGCCCGTTTACATTTTACGTTTGAACATCATAAAGCTGGGGATGTACCACGCCGCAAACACGATGCACCCACTCTGGAGAGTCCAAGAAGGCAATGTTGCCCGCTGTTGCGAGAGGAAAGTGGCTGCGTTTTGATGCCAGGGGGCTCCCTAAAAGGTGGTGAGATGGCTGGCTATGGACCTACAAATAGAACTGGCTAAGGTTATCCCAGCCTTATGGATCAATAAATCCCATATGAACATCCATAAATCCCAGCTTTCAGGTTCACCAGGGGTGGGTTTTGACCCATCCCCATTTGTTGATACGACTTGAGCTGTGGCTGCTGTTGACTCCTATTGTTGAAACATTATACCTACGTATTGGGGAAGTGAAAGAAATCCTGAAATGTACGAGGTGATGCCAGCTAAGTTGTTTTATTTCAACCCAAAATATTTCTGGACCATTGTGGAAAAAAATCTAGGTATCTCAGCTAAACTAAATTGAATTCATCATATTGGGACAAGGTCATGGGCCGTAATTATTTGTCCCATCTAAGCCCCTTGGACGTATTTAATTTTAAACAGCGAAACATCCCGAAAATAATTTTAAAACATTTTTGAGGTGGGGTACCCCCCCCACCAAGGCATGGGCCATATTTCACTGGTATTTCACTAGGGTTTCTGGTAATAATAGGCTATAGTTATATAATGGGGTTAATAAAGCATCAAACATGCTTGGGAGGGCCCACCTTGTGGTTCAGTTGTGTTTGTGGGCTCACTTTACAGCCACACGATACTAAAACCAACTTAGAAGCGGGCAATCACTTAGAAGCGAAGTAGTATCAACAGCGGATTATCTCATAAGACCTAGTTGCTGAATTACGAGGCTTACTTTCCAAGAGTGATCATTTGCTAGCGTAAATTAATAATATATGGGATAATAACACTATCAAGAGGAATATTATTAAATATTATTATCCCATATTAAAACAATATTTATTAAACGGTACCCCCCAAATTATACGTTGCAAGGCTTTGTCAATGCCAAGTCCTGGCGCATGGCTCATTGTAAGCTTCAACCTGTGGGTTCCTGCAATTGTTGGGGCTAGAGCGGCTAGAGAAAGTAAGCAGCAAGTTCTCAACCTCAATTGGTGCATTATTATTCTTATTATTACTATATATATATATATATATGTATACATACTTTGTTCAGTAAAAATGCATGCTTACTTTGGGGGTCATGAATCCCGCCAATTTCTGTCGGTATTTTCTACCAACAATGTCCACATCCAGGTTTGTGTTGACCAAACTTGGTGTTGACCAAACTTGGGGCTCCTGTATTTTGGGTGTTTACTGTATTTACCCTCCGACAAATTGAAGAGTTTGCTATGGAACATCACTATAACTGGGCCATTTTTCAATATGGGTTTGTCTGAAAATAGGGTATATTCCCAATTATAGCCATTTAATAGGGATAATGATCATCAATCATTGGGTTTAGGGATACACTATTTTCAGACACACCCATATGGTATCCTGCACCGTTGCCTGACTGCAGCATCCTTTTTGGCCACAGTTTCGAGTGGCTACATGAGGCTCTTGCTTCGCGGCAAGGGTCCCAGGTCATGATTTTTCGCAGTTCTATGGGTGGAGATACAACAATCAGAACTGACACTGAAAGAACATGCACCATATTATGTATATATAGATAGATGAGATCTAACATGAAAGTATACTGTATACGCACATACATATTTAAGTATACATGCACAAATATATACTATATATATACATTATATATATACTATATATATACATTATATATATATACTATATATATACATTATATATATATATACATTATATATATACGTATCTATGTTTCCATATATATATATATATATTCATATTCATATACATATATACATATATACATATATACATATATATATATATACATATATACATATATATACACATATCGATATGTAATGTTTTTTTTTTACATATTAAAAAAAGAGAAACAACCTGAGAGTCAGGTGAGCATGGAAAGTGCTGCTCAACAACCAGGTGGGACGCGTGGTTCCAGCTGAGCTGGTTTGAGCATGGCAAAAAGATTCCTATCTTTTGACCTTTTCTTGGTGGGAGGAATAGCCCACCGACAATTCCCACCAGATGTGATCAACGCATGCCATATGTGCAGCCATTTTGGCTTTATATATATATATATAACATTTAGTTTTGGACATGGACATATCAAGTCTCTGATTGTGCAAAGATCAGAGTCTTGCAATCAAGTGGAATGAAGCACGAGATTGCCAGCCAACGAACCAGCTTGCACCACCAAACAACTCGATCAACCAGCAATCCAGCTCAATCAAGGACCTAACCGCGCAAGCATATCGCAACCATATCGCAACCATATCGCAATCAACCGGCAAGAACAGTATTCAGTCAGAAACAGTTGCTGTGCAATTGTAGGGGATGGATGCGGATTTTTTTTTTCTGGCTAGCAGTTCTATCTCCACAAAACAGTTGATGACCTTCTCAGATTCGGCTGAACCACCCAATTGTGAAATTCCCATTAAGAAAGCATCCGTCATGTTACATTCCCATAGCAACTTGAAGATCTTCCCAGATGAGCTTCCACCTTGAACCCACCCACCGCAGCCCCGTCCACCCATTTTCCTTGAACTCGCAACGCCGAGCGAATCTGTCATGGGAGCTGCCTGGCAGCGTCCGACGGTGGGCGACTTCGTATTGGTCAGCGGGCACGGCGACCTGTCGCGCTCGCGGCGCTGGGGGCAGCTCTTTGCGGATGATGGGGAGCAGGACCAAGCTTGGACGGCTTAAAATGGGTCCCTCATTTAAAGAACCCACCCACTTAGCCACGAAAAAGAAGGGTTGGGCAAAACAATGAACAAATGCCACGAAAATTGGGGAATGATGGGATGTAAGGTGGAATCACTTTCTTGATTTTCTTGATCTATTTGGGGACATCTGTATCATCATTCAAAAAGCATCAAGGTCATTGAGTGCCTTAGCCCATGTTGGGGAAGTTGTAAGCCCAGCTACAGCTGGATGTGAGTCCAACTTGTAAGAAGTATTGGGTTTGGGTCAACTCTACCCCGCCAGGCACCCAGAAATTTGGGAGTTGGACATGATCCCGGATCCCTGCCATTGGTTGGAGTGGAAAGTTGAGGGCCCTCACCAAGTGCCGTTGCTGGATTCAACCAGTACGTATTTCGCTCAAAAGTGTGGTGAACGGTGATCAGTGATAGCCAGTCGAAACAGGGGGAGATTTAATGTGATCGCAAGAAACCACAACGATGGCGCGCAAGAAACCACATAGGGAAGACCAACGAACCAACAAAAGCATGATGCGCAACGTGCTATGAAGTTGAATCTACGCAGTGGTTGGGAGTCAACATTTTGGACTTTCAAATGGAACCCACATATCGGTGACTGCGGCGACTGCTGCATTGTTTCGTTTCCAGGACAGGCCCTTCTTGGTGAGATTTCACGATGGTTTGGAGCCTGAGCTACTTGGTGTTGATTTTGATGCTGAAGGTGAAATGGATTCAGGTTTAGGAATACCTATAGAATGAGTAGAACTGTCAGTAGATTTAAATCCAAAGGGGGTTGATGGATCAAGTGAATCTATGAATTGGGGATACTTGGGGAATACAGTGCCAGGTAACAACCAGCTATCCTCCGGTAATTTAACATAGCTATTGAAAATGGCCATTTATAGTGGATTTTCCCATTAAAGATGGTCATTTTCAATAGCTATGTTAGTTTACCAGAGGGTAATGGCTTGGTTCTTTTCTGTGGCTTGGGGGAATTGAATGACAGCCAAAGCAAATGACCAAACTTGGAAGGCGAAGGGGTATCCAAACTTGGCCATGTTGAAGCGCCTGGCTTCAGAGAAGAAACGACCAAGAGCTGGGTATTGGGTCAAACTCAACTTGGCTGGTTATATATATATATATGTATATATGTATATATGTATATATATGTATATATGTATATATGTATATATGTATATATGTATATATGTATATATCTATATATCTATATATGTATATATCTATATATCTATATATCTATATATCTATATATCTATATATCTATATATCTATATACATATATATATATACACATGTATATACATATACATATATGTATATATATACATGTACATGTATATAACATGATATAAATATAACCATGTTTTTTTTTTTTTTTCGGGTTTCTATCCCAAGTTCTTGGGCTTTAAATCCTGGGGAAATTCCAGGACATCCATCTCGCTGAGGCTTTCCTGGTGCGATCTGGAGCGGGTTCGGACCGTGGACAAGGTTGGGACCGGAGCGGACCCTCGGTGTTGTGTTGATCCAAAAGGGGGGATGAGTAGATGCCTATGGTAGGTGTTCATATCCATCAAAATCACCAAAACATTTTTTTTTGGCTGTTGCACTTCAGAAACCTCTGCGTCTAACGATAATTTTTTGGACAAAATATTTTAAACCAACAAGAGTCGACCTTTCACTGCGAGGATCTAAACCCCTCAACGATGAGAGGTTGACGGTCTTTAGCTTTCATCACCAAAAATGGCGACGGAGAAAAGGGTTTTTAAATGAGACATGATGATCTCAATTGTTGGCTTGCACTGACTGGTTTAGCGGGGTCCGGGATGACAAAAATTCGGAGTGAACTGGCCACCCGTCGTTTGATCCATGCGGAGTGAACACCAACAAATGAGCGATGCACAAAGTAGCCAAGAATCGGTCGGGGGTTGAACGGTTGAACGGTTGAACCGTGTTGCAGCAACAAACAGGTTTATGTACCGAAACCTGAGGTTTTTGTCCGGAAAACGGCAGGATTTCGCCAAGTGATCCATTCACTGGTGAACGTTGTCCCAATTAGAATAGCCATACCAGACATTGGTGTTAATCCCCCAGTTTCAGACAACTCCAAGTATCAGACCAGATTGTGAGTATACATATATACAATTATATACATACATCCCATTATATTTTTATTATATACACCCCATTCCTTAATCATATAAATTGTGCAATTCTGTGGTGGTTTCATCTCATCTCCCGTAGCTAAAACCCACCTGCCGTGCCGAGCCAGGCTTTGGAAGACGCTTCGGACCAGGAAGAGGTAACCCTGGCCGTGGAGGGAATTCGGACCAGGTGACCCTCCGGTACTCAAACATGGCAAGCTGGGAAACCCGCTATAAATGGCGAGGTTTCAATCGGAAAATCATCTATAGGGGTGGATTTTTCAGCACGCCATGTTTGATTACTGGAGGGTAATTGGAAAGTTCTGGGGAAACAATGACCATAGCTGTGTTTATTAGTCATAACTATAATATAATATAATATATATATATATATGATAAGCATTGACCAAGTTATTCCCAACAGCAGTGACTGTTGGGCTTTCAATCTCTGGGAGGAGTGGTGCAGCATGAATTTTCTCGGTCCTTTTCAGCTGGGATTGAAGTCCGCCCTTTGCCACGCCAAAGGCGGTTGCCGTGTTTCTTGTGTCGAAATTAAATGTGGTAAATCATATGGCAATTCCCAAGAAATCCTCCAATTTTAAGGAGGGTTTATATCACCATCACCATATACCAGTAGTACCGCACAAGGCGGTGGCGGAAGTTTCAAAAATAGAAAACCTATAGGAGAGGTTGGTTGTTGTGAATCACTGATAGCAGAGCGAAGCCACTGATGGACCGAAAGGTGGTTGAGGTCTCCTCTCTTTCTCTCTCTTTCTCTCTCTTTCTCTCTCTTTCTCTGACTATCTACCTATCTACCTACCTACCTATCTATGTATCTATGTATCAATCGATCGATCGATCTATCGATCTATCGATCTATCGATCTATCTCCCTATCTATCTATCTATCTATCTATTATCTATCTATCTATCTGTCCGTCTGTCTGTCTGTCTGTCTGTCTATCTATCTATCTATCTATTTGCAAACTTGAAAACGAAGCTGTTCTGCGAGACTTCCTCAATTTTTGTGACAACATCAAAAACGCAGAAATTCAGCGAGACTCCTAATTTTTTGCACTTGACAACGTCAAAAACGAAGCAAATCTGCGAGACTTCCTCAATTTTGGAACTTGACAACATCAAAAACGAAGCAATTCTGCGAGACATCCTTCAAAAATGGAAGGTTGAGTGCAGAGCTGACGGCCTCGTGCCAATTCGTTTTGCGATTTTTCCACGCCACCTGTCTAAACTATTGCGCCTGCCACGAAAAAGGGATGCCAGGTCATACGAAGTGCTGCACCTGTCACGCAAAATCATCTCAGCAAACCTGAAGATTTGATTCGCCAAAACGCAACCCCTCTCAGGAAATCAGCGCCCTGACCTCCTAACAGCTGTGATGAACATGTCTCTTGTATTGCGCCTGCCACGGAAAATGCATCTTTGCAGATCCTCTTCAAATGTCCCACGCCTGCCATCTTTTTTGGAAATGCTACAAAGCCCTCAGGTTTTGCTCACTTTTGACAAGGTGCGCAATCCCTTGCGCCTACCACGCGAAACGACATCTGAACGTCCAAAAGTGGTCCGAACCCCTAGTGTTTTTAACATTTTGACTTCGAAATGTGCTTCGCACCACAACGGCGTGCACAGAAAAAAAATTACTTTACTTCGTGTGATCCCCACCATGACATTTATACATTTTCTTACTGGCAAATCTTCTGGCATTCTATCTGACATATCTTCTGACATTCTATTTGGCATTCTATCTGGCATATCTTCTGGCATATGATCTGGCATCTTCTGGCATATCTTCTGGCATTCTATCTGGCAAATCTTCTGGCATTCTATCTGGCATATCTTCTGGCACTCTATCTGACATATCTTCTGGCATTCTATCTGGCATATCTTCTGGCATATATTCTGACATATCTTCTGGCATTCTATCTGACATATCTTCTGGATATATTCTGACATATCTTCTGGCATATCTTCTGGCATATCTTCTGGCATATCTTCTGACATATCTATCTGGCATATCTTCTGGCATATTTTCTGGCATTCTATCTGGCAAATCTTCTGGCATTCTATCTGGCATATCTATCTATCTGGCATATCTTCTGGCATCTTCTGGCATATCTTCTGGCATTCTATCTGGCATTCTATCTGGCATATCTTCTGGCATATCTTCTGGACATTCTTTCTAACATTCTTCTGCACATTCTTTGTCCCATATCTTCCTACATGAGGTCCGGCAGGGAACACTTGGCGTGGATACTCGCGGTTGAGGTCCGGCAGGGAACACTGGGCGTGGCTGGTCGTGGTTGAGGTCCGGCAGGGAACACTGGGCGTGGCTGGTCGTGGTTGAGGTCCGGCAGGGAACACTGGGCGTGGATGGTCGTGGTTGAGGTCCGGCAGAGAACACTGTGGATCGCGGGTCGCAGTTGGACGAGGACGACGAGGACGACGAGGACGACGAAGACGACGACGATGACAAGGAGGACGAGGAGGACGAGGAGGAGAGGAGGAGAGGAGGAGGAGGAGGAGGACGAGGCAGGAGGAGGCAACTGACATAAAATCTAACAACCCTCACCTGGCAGGTGGGGAAAAAAGCTTCCAAAAGTGGTCCGAAGCTGATGTGTTTTCTACATTTTGACTTCGAAATGTGCTTCGCGCCACAACGGAGTGCACTTTTTCGACGTCTCAACTTCCAAAAGTGGTCCGGAGCTGGTGTCTTTTGTACATTTGGATTTGGAAATGTGCTTCGCGCCACAACCACGTGCACTTTTTCGACATCTCAACTTCAAAAACTGCTCCGAACGTGAGGTGTTATTAGCTTTTTCACTTGCAAATGTGCTTCGCGCCACAACGGCGTGCAATTTTTCATCTCTCATCTGGCCAGCTGGCTCCGCACCCGCCGCTTTAGCGAGCCTACTTTTCGACTCTCCGGAGCCACAAATCATTGGAAAAAACACAGTGTTTCGCGACTTTTCTACCTTTTCGCGCACCTGGATCTTCTTTCTTCTGATACTTTCTCTTTTTGATCTTCTTTCTTCTTCTCTTCTCTTCTCTGACTCTTCCCACCTCTGCTTTTCATTTGTCCATATTGTCGGAAGTTTGACTTCTAAACTTCCTTCGATCACCTCGGGTGATATTGGGGACTGCTGATGATTTGCTTCACCACAGTGGTGGATTGACATCAAACGCAACATTTGTTGAGAGGAAATTGCAGTTTTCGTGCAATGGAAGGGGACCAAAGCCTATGATTGGCCGATATGAACAGTGGGGGGATGAATGGGGTCCATCAACATCCATTCAGAAAGCAGCCATTTTCGTTAACGAAGGCACCAGGGCCATATGGTGAATGTTTTGAGCCATATGAGAAAGGCGCCTGCTCCCAGTTGCACATGGGCTTCTACCTACTCCAGTGACTAGGGTCAAATGCCTTAGATATCATTCAAAGGGGGTATCATGCCACTGATTGCATGGGTCAACAACATGGTAAATCTGTGTAAATTTAGGCATGGTTTCCGAGTTTGAGTTTGCCACTTGTCATTCATGTCCATCAGTGGAATCAGATCTAAACGGCGCCCGCAGGAGTATCAATGCCCCATTTGCTTCACGCCCTTCGAAGAGGCAAGGAATGGTTGTCCTATGAGGGTTTTCATCAAAGTTGGGTACCCCGAAACACAGAGTTTTTCTCTTTACATGTGGTCTTCATTCTTATGGAACATACATATAAGTATGTAAATATACATACATACATGCATGCATGCATGCTTGCATGCATGCATCCATCCATCCATCCATACATACATACATCCTTTCCTTTCCTTTCCTTTCCTTACCTTACGTTACGTTACGTTACGTTACGTTACGATACATTACATTACATTACATACCATACCATATCATACCATGCATACCATACCATACCATACCCTACCCTACCCTACCATACCATACCATACCATACATACGTACAAAATTACATTACATTACATTACGTTGCATTACATTACATTACATGCATGCATGCATCCATGCATCCATACATCCATACATCCATACATCCATACATCCATACATCCATGCATCCATCCATGCATGCATGCATGCATGCATACATGCATACATACATACACATATGTATATGTATATATATATATTATACATATATATATATTATATATACATATATATATTATATATATATACATATATTATATATATATATATTATACATATATATATATTATACATATATATTTATATATTATACATACATATATATTTATATATTATACATACATATATATATATTTACATATATATATATACATATGTACATATGTAAATATACATATATATATATACACGTATGTATGTCTATATATACATATATTTATACATGCATATGTATATAGATCTAAAACCAATCAGAGTACGTGGTTCAGTAGAGATTGAAACTTCGAGCCAGGGATCCGCCTCAAAGAGCCCACGGGGCGTGGGGATAGCAAAAATATGGCACTTTTATGGGGAAGACCATGATAAACTTTGATAAACAGGGGTTTTCGGATTTCAAAATTTGGAGACAACCCAAAAAAATAATCATATTTTTGTGTTTGTGATGGATTACGCAAGTTGAACAACCACCATCTCAGCAGCTAACGATTAAGTATTTGTTGGGGGGTCATTGCTTTGAGATCACCCTTTTTGAACAGGATTTTCGCGACATTGATGCCCTTGGTTATCAACATTTTCATTGGTTCCTTGCCTGTTGTTCTTGAGCAATTACCCAAATCTTTTGTGATCTAGATGCAAATTTGCATTGCGTAGGTCCTCATTTTTGCCATTCTTTTTGTTGCAAAAATCCACATGTTCCGTGGCTGAAGCCCAAGTTGCTGCTTAAGATCTCTCTTTTTTCTGGTCATTTCAATCATTTCCCGCTTTTTTTGGCTGGTTGCAATTCAACTTTTCACATGTGTTTGTTTTATTTTTTCTGAAATCCTGATCAATTCAGCCATTCCACAGGTGTTTTTCCAAAGCTGGTTGAAGTTCCTATGGTTTTCCTAGCCTATGGTTTTTCCAAGATTCTATTTTTTTTTTCTCTCTCTCTCTCTCTCCCTCTCTCTCTCTCTAAATATGTATATATATATATATATATTAGTTTTTTTTTTAAGCCTCGTAAACAATCGTTGTATAGCTCCAAGAGACACGGTGAACGTAGGGGGTACGAGTGGCGAACGCACGTGGTGACCTAGCTACCTATCTATCTATCGATCGATCGATCTATCTATCTATCTACCTATCTACCTATCTACCGAACTACCTATCTACCTATCTATCTACCTATCCACCTATCCACCTATGAACATATCCACCTATCCACCTCTCCACCTCTCCACCTATCTACCTATCTATCTATCTACCTACCTACCTACCTATCTATCTATCTATCTATCCATCTAGCTATCTAGCTATCTAGCTATCTAGCTATCTAGCTATCTAGCTATCTAGCTATCTAGCTATCTAGCTATCTAGCTATCTAGCTATCTAGCTATCTAGCTATCCATCTATCCATCTATCCATCTATCCATCTATCCATCTATCCATCTATCCATCTATCCATCTATCCATCTATCCATCTAGCCATCTATCTATCTAGCTATCTAGCTATCTAGCTATCTAGCTATCTAGCTATCTAGCTATCTAGCTATCTAGCTATCTAGCTATCTAGCCTATCTAGCTATCTAGCTATCTAGCTATCTAGCTATCTAGCTATCTAGCTATCTAGCTATCTAGCTATCTATCTATCTATCTATCTCTCTCTATCTCTCTCTATCTATCTCTATCTATCTCTATCTATCTCTATCTATCTCTATCTATCTCTATCTATCTCTATCTATCTCTATCTATCCCTATCTATCCCTATCTATCCCTATCTATCCCTATCTATCTCTATCTATCTCTATCTATCTCTATCTATCTCTATCTATCTCTATCTATCTCTATCTATCTCTATCTATCTCTATCTATCTATCTATCTATCTATCCATCTATCCATCTATCCATCTATCCATCTATCCATCTATCCAGCTATCCATCTATCCATCTATCCATCTATCCATCTATCCATCTATCCATCTATCCATCTATCCATCTATCCATCTATCCATCTATCCATCTATCCATCTAGCCATCTAGCTATCTAGCTATCTAGCTATCTATCTATCTATCTAGCTAGCTATCTAGCTAGCTATCTATCTATCTATCTCTCTCTCTCTCTCTATCCGATCGATCCGATCCTATCCTATCCTATTCTATCCTATCTAATCTATCTATTCTATCTATCTATCTGTCTATCTATCCATCTACCTACCTATACTTTTCCCATGGTTTTCAAAATTTTTTCATGGTCTTTCTATGGGTTTTCTGGTTTTCCCCAGGACTCGCAGATAGTGACGCCCTGTGGCCACTGCTTCTGTCGTTCCTGCATTGAAAACGCGCTGGCGGCGTGCCAGACCGGAGATCCCACGGAGCCACGGCGGAGCCGGGTGAGTCTTTTTCGGTGACGTATCGTTTTAAAAGGTCATGGTGGATGCCCCAAAAAAGGTGGAAAAGTACTATAAAAGTATGGTTATATAGTGTTTGAAATCCCAAATTAACCACTGATTAAACTGCTTGTAAGATAAGAAACATAAGTAGGATATAAAACCGGCAATTTAACAATAATTATGTTTTTTTTGCCATAGTTTAGGATAGGTTTCTTTTGGCAAGCATAAGTAACATAACTAGGTTAACTGAGGTTCATTTCATGGATATATCCCCTGATGGAGCCAAAGGCTGGGTAGATGCCAAGGAGAGACCGTGTCCCCTTTGTCGTCAAACCGTAAGCCTCTTCGCGCTCAAAATGGTGCGGACTGGCCAGAGGACCGATGAGATTTGACTGGCGAAACATGGGACCCGGGATGTGCAGCCCCGTGACTATCTGGTTGTGCAATCTTGTCCCAAGTCGTAGCGATATGTACATACATTTGATTTCTTGTGTCATCTTTGTTGTTCCAGGAATGGTATTTTCAATGAGGAAATTGTTTTTTCTAGATTGCTGGATTTTGGGGCAAAGAATTTTTTGGCAAACTCATCATGGGATGGCTCAATACTAATGAGATCACATTAGGATATATTTGGCAGGATGGACGTCCTTAAATGCCTGTTACTTGGAGGCTCAGGCTTGATTCTGCTTCAGATTCTGGTCCAGGCCTCGCCGGTGCAACGTGTCGCTGTCGGGATAGAACTTGAATAGCCTAATGGGTAATTCTGAACTGCATTTATGGAATGTATAATCCCATGTATAACCAGTTAGAACTATTTATAATCGGTAAACAGCCATGACTGCAGCTTTCTCCAGTCCCTTCAGTACCTTCGGTCCCTTCTGCCCTTTCCGTCCTTCCAGGATTCATTTCCTCAGCGACGACCTGTCGTGCCTCAACGGCAGCGTCTTCGTGTTGCGGAGCCATAGTGAGGCAGGGCTGGTGCTGAAAATAGCTGGGATGCCATGGATGGTTCACCGGTCAGAAGAAATGATATGTATGTATTTATGTATTGTATTGTATTGTATTGTATTGTATTGTAATGTAATGTAATGTAATGTGATGTAATGTAATGTATGTATGTAATGTATGTATGTAATGTATGTATGTAATGTATGTATGTAATGTATGTATGTAATGTATGTATGTAATGTATGTATGGAATGTATGTATGTAATGTATGTAATGTATATATGTAATGTATGTATGTAATGTATGTATGTAATGTATGTAATGTATGTATGTAATGTATGTATGTATGTATGTATGTATGTATGTTTGTATGTATGTATGTATTTATGTAATGTATGTATGTATATATATATATGTATGTATGTATGTAAGTATGTATGTATGTAAGTATGTAATGTAATGTAATGTAATGTAATGTAATTTAATGTAATGTAATGTAATGTATGTATGTAATGTATGTATGTAATGTATGTATGTAATGTATGTATGTAATGTATGTATGGAATGTATGTATGTAATGTATGTATGTAATGTATATATGTAGTGTATGTATGTAATGTATGTATGTAATGTATGTATGTAATGTATGTAATGTATGTATGTAATGTATGTATGTATGTATGTTTGTATGTATGTATGTATGTATTTATGTAATGTATGTATGTATATATATATATGTATGTATGTATGTAAGTATGTATGTATGTAAGTATGTATGTATGTATGTAATGTAATGTAATGTAATGTAATGTAATGTATGTATGTAATGTATGTATGTAATGTATGTATGTAATGTATGTATGCAATGTATGTATGGAATGTATGTATGTAATGTATGTATGTAATGTATATATGTAGTGTATGTATGTAATGTATGTATGTAATGTATGTAATGTATGTATGTAATGTATGTATGTATGTATGTAATGTTTGTTTGTATGTATGTATGTATGTATATATATATGTATACGCGCAAAGGTTTCCCATTCCCAAACACATGTTGATGCAATTTCACAAAATTCCTATTGGACAAACAACAAAGGTACTAGGGAATATTACACTCCCACCCCGTTAAACCTTAAATTCCTATGGGAAAAACAACAAAAGTACTAGGGAATATTAAACTCCCACCCCTGTTAAACTTTACATTCAATTGAGAAGATCAACAAAGGTACTAGGGAATATTAAACTCCCACCACCGTTAAACTTTAGATTCAATTGGGAAGATCAACAAAGGTACTAGGTAATATTAAACTCCCACCCCCGTTAAACTTTACATTCATTGAAGATCTTCAATAAGGGTTTAATTCTCCCACCCCCGGTCAACTTCTACGTTCATTGAAGATCTTCAAGAAGGGTTTAATTCTCCCACCCCCGTTAAACTTCTACATTCATTGAAGATATTCAATAAGGGTTTAATTCTCCCACCCCCGTTAAAGTTCCAGATTCATTGAAGATTTTGAATAAGGGTTCAATTCTTCCCACCCCCGTTAAACTTCTACATTCATTGAAGATCTTCAATAAGGGTTTAATTCTCCCACCCCCGTTAAAGTTCCAGATTCATTGAAGATTTTGAATAAGGGTTCAATTCTTCCCACCCCCGTTAAACTTCTACATTCATTGAAGATCTTCAATAAGGGCTTTAATTCTGATAATGGTGATGATGATGATGGTGATGATGATGATGCCTCGCCTGTCGTCATTGCGGGTCCGGGCAAAGCCCAGGCATTTGCCGTATATATATATGTATATACATATACATATACATATACATGTACATGTACATATACATACATATATATACATACATATATACATATACATATACATATACATATAGATATACATATGCATATACATATGTATATATATACACATACATATATACATATACATATACATATGTATATATATACACATACATATATACATATACATATATATACACATATAATATGGTATATATATATATAACATAATGTAGTGAAATGTAATGGAATTCAATGTATTATAATGTAATATAAAATATTACAATTGAATACAATATACCCTAATATGATAAAATATATTTCAATATAAACCAATCTAATATATTATCATATAAAACATAAAATCTAATCTAATATAGTACGATAATATATAGCATAATATATTTTAATAAAGTATACTATGATATAATATAGTATAATATAATATAATAAATAGAATAAAGTAAAATAAAATAAAATATAATATGATATAATATAATATAATGTAGTGTAACTTAATATAATACACACTAGAATAGAATAGATCGATCGATCGATCGATCGATATATACATAGATAGACAGACAGACAGACAGATAGATAGATAGATAAATAGATAGATAGATAGATGGATATAGATAGATGGATATAGATAGATGGATATAGATAGATAGATAGGTAGATAGATAGATAGATCGATAGATAGATAGATAGATAGATAGATTAGTAGATTAGATAGATTAGATAGATTAGATAGATTAGATAGATTAGATAGATTAGATAGATTAGATAGATTAGATAGATTAGATAGATTAGATAGATTATATAGGCTAGATAGATTAGATAGATAGATAGATAGATAGATAGATAGATAGATAGATAGATAGATAGATAGATAGATAGATAGATAGATAGATAGATAGATAGATAGATAGATGAGATAGATAGATAGATAGATAGATAGATAGATAGATAGATAGATAGATAGATAGATAGATAGATAGACAGACAGATAGATAGATAGATAGATAGATAGATGGATATAGATAGATAGATAGATAGATAGATAGATAGGTAGATCGATAGATCGATAGATAGATAGATCGATAGATCGATAGATCGATCGATCGATCGATAGATAGATAGATAGATCGTGGTTTATCATGGTTATTTAATGGTTGATAGCAATCAATGGTATTCAATAATAGTGGTTGATGATGGTTAATAGTGGTAACCAGTGTGTGTATATATATAATTATATATAATATACGGGGTTTCTTGAAATTTAAGTGGGGGATCCCCACGTCACCATAGGTTTCAAGACTAAGTCATGGTCTAATGACTTGGATGATTTGGGGGTACCTCCATTTTAGGAAACCTCCATATTATATATATATACATAAATATATGCATTAATCTGGGTGAATCTGGGATTGTTGGAAAATCCGTGAAAGATTTTATGGTTTCTGATGGTTTCTGGCCTACCCTCAACTAAAGCCTCGGGTTATGGATAACATGGGAAATTTTCGCATCAATGGGGATTAAAGTAAAGCAGGATGAGGATTTAACCAGCTATGGGGATATTCCATGGCCAATCATGGGACATCATGAGATATAATGGGAGATATAGACAACAATTGGACACCGGCATGGGATAATCTAAACAGTGGACTCATCTGAGTATTCTTGGACAACCCCGCAAAAATGATGGTAAATCCCAAGATGGTTTTTGTTTGAAGGTGCTGGGAGAACCCGACAACCCAGAAAACCTCAAGATATCATTTCCTTAAAACGCATATTTCCAATTCTTTTCTCATATTATAATGGGCGATATATTTGGGGATCGCCCAATTTTTGCACAATCCCGCCATATGGGATGTTTTACATTCCAAAAGTACCTGAAACTCATCTTTGACCCCCTAGTTTTGGAGTTCAAATGGCCAATCAAACTGGTGGTGAACTTTAGGCAAAACATATCTTTCTTTTTGGTTAGTGCCTAGAAATTCCCCTTTCTAGTGTGCCTCAGTTGTGTTGGAGGCAGAGTGCCCCAATTTTACATGAACACATGGCCAACTGACCCCCTGCAACTTTGCTTTTGGATGACACATACAGGTGATCCATTTCTGATCCACCTGGCTTTGTTTGACCATCCGGCGCCGCGACGACCTCGTCAGGTGGGCTTTGCATCCTTTCACTTTGAAGATGGGAACGCATACATCAGTCAGCGGATGGGGCGGATGGGGGGGCCGGAAACTTGTGTTTTTTTTCCTCAAGTTGATTATGATGGGACTATGATGGCATTATGATGGGATTATGATCCAAAATCCTCAGTTTCCAAGTTGTTTTTCGAACTGGATTTGGATCACACTGTGGTCCTGTGGTGCTTGTGACGATAAAACTGCCTGGATAGCCGTGAACTGCCCATTTTGGCTTGACCCGACTCCCATGTTGCCTTGAACATCCCCCCCAAAAGATTGCCACCGAATGTTGGTAAAGCAATAGTAAACCATCCCCAATTTTACCATTTGGGTGCCAGAAACCATCAAACTATGGGTGGTCCCATTGGTTGCTTTACTCGCATTGTTTTGTTTTACTTAACTCTTCATTCTTAGTGAAGTCCCCACTGTTGATGTAACTATGACTATGAACTATTTGGTGGGTTTGTCCGAAACGTGGAGCTTTCCCGATTCCAATGGATGATTCTCATTATTTAAACTGCAGTTATGGCCTGAAATAGCTGTTATGAATGTCAGTAAGTCATCCCATTTATGGTTCATGATAACCCCATTCACCACAGAAATAACATGAAATAACTGGTTCCCAAGGGGCTAAAACACGGTGGAAGCCATTTGGAGGGTTGAAACATGTTGAAACCTCATAGCTTCAGACCCCCAAAACAGGTCATAGTTCGGCGCGCTGCCCCTTTGCTGGGCTGGTCTTGGACAATGGAAGCCTTCCACCAGACAAGAAGCTGCCTGAACGAAGGAACCAGCGATAGACTGGGGACAGATTGGGGGGTTTCCATAGTCATGGGGATACCCCAAAATAGATTTGGCTATAATGGAACATCCCATTAAAATGGATGAATTGAGGGTACCCCTATTTTAGGAAACCTCCATATGTTGGTATATTTTTAAGGGGATATCTGACGTTTTTTTTTGGAAATTCGCCATAACATGGGTTTCGCTATATTTTTTTTTAAGGAACCGTTCTCGACGAGAACACCTGGAAACCTCTCATCGTTTGGTTTTTTTTTTATCGGATCAATGGGGTCGGCGAGTATGATTTGACGACCGAATATCGAGGGGTTCATCATTTTCCCAAGAAACCCTCTGGTTTTTTTTCACACTTTGCAAAGTGGAAAATCACCATTTTAGTAGGTAAATGATATATATATAATCCACACATATTCGGGCCATTTTCCATACCAGAGGCTAACAATTGTCCTATATTTGGGTGTCCCGGTTTTTTTATCGGCACACCCAGCTGTCCTTGGTTCCTGAGGGCACCATCCCTAAGCGGCTTGTCACAAGTTCCTGAGGTTTTTCGAGAAGACCTTCTGGCACCAAGGCAGCCGATACTTGGCCAACATGTCGCATCGAATGAAGGACGAATTGGTGAAAAGTTGGGAACAACTACCATAGATGTTTGGAATTCATCCGAGTAAAATTAGAACGACCTCACTGCGATTGATGCTTCTTTGTTGCGCAAATTTAACAGACATGCAACCTCTGGCAATTCAACACAGCTATGGAAAATCAGAACTTTGAATAGGCAAACCAACTATAAATGGACAATTCTTTCTATAGTACACGGTCAAATTACTGCAAGGATTTCCAGGTTTTGGCTTCGCATCTCAAGGCTCCAGGTTGGTTTGTCGCCTTCTTTTTTTGTAGGATGTTTTAGCCTTTGGGCACATTTTTTTTTGGTGACATAACAATAAATCACAGCTATTATTTTGGGATCATACCCCGATTTCTTCCAATTTCTGTGAGTTAGAAGCCAATTGTTTCTTGGCTCATGCTAATTTTTTCATAGGTTTGGAATTATTTGGTGGTACATGTCCTTTTGTGTCCAACCCTTCACCTAGCAATTTCTTGCAAAATAGGATGATATAGAGATCCCCAACACATTTTCCCATGAAAAGGAACAACAACGGCATTTTTTTGAAAGCTTTAGATGCTGTCACCTTTAAATGTGTATGTATATATATATATATTAATAGATAAAGATGCCCCCATCAATAAAAACCTCATCATCCACCATTTTTTTGTTACATATATAGATTGTAGATCTCCCAAAAAATATCTTTCCAATCATCTCTGAAAATCTCTGGATCCACCATTTTTTCAGAGATGTTCCTGGTTTTCCAGCATTTTTGTTTACCATGTTTCACCCAAATTTCCATGATTCTTTCACCATGTTTCACCATGTTCCTATCAGTTTTCCAACCTTTTTCACCAAAATTTCCAACATTTGTGCATTTTGCCATGGCTTTTCCTATCATTTTCCAGCACTCTGGGAATGTCTCGCCATTTTCCCATCCTTTTCCGTTGGCATTTGACCCACACCGGCTTCCCCGAGGCACCTTCCACGGGGAGCTCATCTGGTCCCCGTGCACCTGGTACGGCTCGGAGCGCTGGCGAATCGTGATGCAGTTCTCCGAGGATCTGGCGTTCCTTGAGATCCCCCAGATCCCCCAGATCCCCCAGAGGTGCCCCAGGTCCCCCAGGTCCCCCAGTCATCAGCATTTTATGGGATTTGAAGCATTTCTGGCTGGGCTTGGCTGAAACCCCAAGCATCCCGGATTTGTTGGGATTGGGATAGGTTTATGGCCAAAACAGGGAATTGATGGAGATTTTTGAGTGGGATCCAATGGGAATAAGCCATGGGAAATAATGGGTATAGAATGGGAATATTGCACTGGGTTTAATGTGGTAAACGCAATAATAGCCCATTAAGCAACCATGACTAGGGGTCATACTCAACATCATCCCAAAGTTTCAACTGGGGCGAACGTAAGGGGAATTTATGGGAATACACTGTAATGAGATATCCAATATTGAATACAATGGACCTAGGAGATAGAATGGGGATACAATGGGAATATCATGGCCATAACACAATTCTTCACATGGGGAACGAGCGCATAGAAATTCTGGTCCGGGTTCCAGTCGGGGGATTCACAAAAAATGCCACCATCCCATTAACCAACCATGACTGGGGGTGCTAACGATCATCCCCGAAAAAGGGGATGGTTTATTGTTGGGTTTACCTCACTATATGGAGATATGGCGATATAGTGGGAGAACAGCTATTGAATATCATCCTCAGGGGATTCAATAGAGATACAACGGGAATATCATGAGGATACAATGGGAATGGGAAGCAATGGGAAGCAATGCGTGGATCTTTTTTTTAGTGGGATGTCCAATGGGACAATGGGGACAAGGAGATAGAAGGTGGGATCCCCATGGGTTTCGGGATCTAATTGGATCTATGGGGGCTTCAGAAATCCAAGGGGGTCACATGGGTCCAGCTACGCCTTTCAACTGGTAAACCAGCTTGATCTGTGCAAAACTCGTCCCTGGTGCTAGCCGCCGAAATGAGTTCTACATGTTGCTACCTTAGTTTTGATTGCAACGGTAAATTGCTCTGATCATAGGATGTTGAGGGACCACATGATTTTCTCCAAACAAATCATGGCTTATTGGGGGTTATTATATAACCAAATCAAATAGAGCTTGATGAGGGTTTTTTAAGCTCAAGTGTTGGAGTATTCTCCCTATGATCCAGCTCAGTTGGTTTACAACTCCAGAGTTATTATGGTTTATAAACCAAGCTATGGTTGAAATCCAGTTGAAATCCTACCACAACCAGCTCTGAAAGGTTCGTGACCACCGGTGTCATGAAGCTCCGGAGCCATCGCCATGCTTGTCTGCTGGATGGCGTGTGGCGCGTGGAGTGGGGCAACGAGAAAGCGCCGGATCTGATCCGTGTACAGGGCGGCATGTGGGAGCACAGGCGATGGGGTGAAGGGATGGAGCTGGGAAAGTTGGGTTTAACTGGGTGAAACTTAGGGAAACCTTCGGAAACCCAAGAGTTCATGGAGTTTGCCCGGTGGGAGGATTTACCACCAAGGTGATATTTTGGGTGAGGTTTTCATATCCAGTGAAATGGGAGTAATTATCCCATTTTCAGACAACTCCAAGTGGAGCTACCTTTGGTCAGATTTTTACGTGGCTGCCTCTCAGCCGTATTTTCCCTGCAAGTTTCCACAGGTTCTCTCTCTCTCTCTCTCTCCCTCCCTCTCCCTCTCCCTCTCCCTCTCCCTCTCCCTCTCTCTCTCCCTCTCCCTCTCTCCCTCTCCCTCTCCCTCTCCTCGTCCTCTTCTCCCTCTCCCTCTTCTCCCTCTCCCTCTCCCTGCTCCCTCTCCCTCCCCTCTTCCCCCCTCCCTCTCCCTCTCCCTCTCCCTCCCTCCCTCCCTCTCCCCGTCTCTGTCTCTCTTTATCAATAATTACGATGATAGTAAGAATGACAATGATGACATCAATGATGACAATGATAATAGTGACAATCTCCCCGTCTCTGTCTCTCTTTATCAATAATTACGATGATAGTAAGAATGACAATGATGACATCAATGATGACAATGATAATAGTGACAATAATGGTAATGATAATGATAATAATAGATAGAATATAGGATTTTAGTACCCCCCAAAAAGATAGAACAGCTTCAATTCACCACGATTTTAGTCGGATTTTACGAACTTCTATCTTAACTTGAGGCCTGCTATGTATATATATATATAATATTATAATGTAATGTAATGTAATGTAATGTAATGTAATATACACACATAGAAATAGATATTTCTCCCCAGTTCCAGGAGGCAACTCCGACTGGGCCCCCAGCTTCTCAGGGGCATGCGCTACTGGCTGAACCTTACAGACCCCGCGAAGCCGTGCTTCGTGTGGCGCGGCCTGGGGGTGACGCAATGGTGCGAACTGCCCGAGGCGCCCCTGGAAGACGGCCAGTCCTTGCTGTGGGTCCCGTGGCTAATGCAGGGTGGTGGCTTTGGAGGTAAACTCGGATTTGGACGGCAGGGTGACTGCAATACATACATATACATACACACATACATACATACATACATACATACATACATACATACATACATACATACATACATACATACATACATACATACATACATACATACATACATACATACATACATACATACATACATTACGTTACATTACATTTACATTACATTACATTACATTACATTTACATTACATTACATTTACATTTACATTACATTACATCACCGTTACATTACATTACATCACATTACATCACATTACATTACATTACATTACATTACATACACACATACATATATATATATACATACATATGTATATATATATATATTATACACACTATACTATACATGTATATTTGATTTTCCATCATTTTCAACACCAAAATAGAGCTGAGCCCCACTTTTATGACACGTCACATGTTTCGGGATGGGTTGCAACCAGCGACAGCAGGTTGAGGGATGGTGGTGGTTCTTAGGCGTCCCTGGGGGTTGAGGGAGCCATGTGTTCTCTTCTTGATGGTCGCCAAAAGGATCAAAAAGATTTGCGGATGATTCTGGTATGGGTCAATCATTTCACATGAATTGCCGATCATTGCTGTAAGTTGAGCTAAGAATTTCAGGACTGACGCCCCACAGATTTGGTCATTTCTTGTATGAAACCATGGATGTGAATTTTCAGGCCCCAGCTTGGACAAGCGAACCATCCTAGGTGACGGACGACCCCAAACATCCACACATCATCTGGAAACGTTTGCGCGGACCTTACGACAGACCCTTGGATTCCGTGGCCGCTATCAGGTTGACAGGGGAGCAGTTGGGAGTCAACCAGAAAGACCCGGTAGCTGTGTCTCCGTGTTGACCCCACTTTGACTTTGGTGATCTGACGGCTTTCCGGCACTGCTATGGTCAGGATATGACAGGATTGTTTTCTACAAGCTCTTGGGCCCCAACGGCTTTGCCATTTGGCGGCACCAAAACTTGTGAGTGCAACCTATCCCGGGATTTGCTTGGTGGTTGTTACTTGAGTGATGCAATACTGATCTGCGCTCCAGGCATTTTCATCTGGGACGTGAAAATACTATCCTCCATCCACTGAATCAACAGACATCCCGGCGAACGGGCCATTGTGTTTTTTGAACAATGATCTCCGTTCTGTTCGCCCGATCATACCAGGGATGAAACAACTTCAGGCATCACTGGTTGATGTGGAATTTCCAGGAATCTCCATCGGGTCAATTGCCAGCTGACCAACATTAACCAACGACCCAGGAGTATGTCAGGCATCATGAGCTCCGGCTACAAGAGATGTCTTTCAGAAAGGGACAACTCTTCGGCAACAGTCCTTTGGCTCGATTGACCATGGGCTGGGTGACGGTTGGCTGGGTCATACTTGAAGCAATTTTCATAGGGATTTGTCAATGGGTCACCCTGAAAATCCATGGTGTATCATCATGTTGCTATTCAAATGGCTATCAAAGGGGAAATTACTTTACTTCGTGTGATCCCCACCATGACATTTATACATTTTCTTACTGGCAAATCTTCTGGCATTCTATCTGACATATCTTCTGACATTCTATTTGACATTCTATCTGGCATATCTTCTGGCAAATGATCTGGCATATCTTCTGGCATTCTATCTGGCAAATCTTCTGGCATTCTATCTGGCATATCTTCTGGCACTCTATCTGACATATCTTCTGGCATTCAATCTGGCATTCTATCTGGCATATCTTCTGGCATATATTCTGACATATCTTCTGGCATTCTATCTGACATATCTTCTGGCATTCTATCTGGCATATCTTCTGGCATATGTTCTGGCATATCTTCTGGCCTATCTTCTGGCATTCTATCTGGCAAATCTTCTGGCATTCTATCTGGCATATCTTCTGGCATATATTCTGACATATCTTCTGGCATTCTATCTGGCATTCTATTTGGCATTCTATCTGGCATATCTTCTGGCATATCTTCTGACATTCTTTCTGGCATTCTTTCTAACTTTCTTCTGCACATTCTTTGTCCCATATCTTCCTACATGAGGTCCGGCAGGGAACACTTGGCGTGGATACTCGCGGTTGAGGTCCGGCAGGGAACACTGGGCGTGGATGGTCGTGGTTGAGGTCCGGCAGGGAACACTGGGCGATGATGGTCGTGGTTGAGGTCCGGCAGGGAACATTGGGCGTGGATGGTCGTGGTTGAGGTCCGGCAGGGAACACTGGGCGTGGATGGTCGTGGTTGAGGTCCGGCAGAGAACACTGTGGATCGCGGGTCGCAGTTGAGCAAGGACGACGAGGACGACGAGGACGACGAGGACGACGAGGAGGACGAGGAGGAGGAGAGGAGGACGAGGCAGGAGGAGGCGGAGGAGGAGGAGGAGGAGAAGGAGGAGGAGGAGAAGGAGGAGAAGGAGGAGGAGGAGGCAACTGACATAAAATCTAACAACCCTCACCTGGCAGGTGGGGAAAAAGACAATTTCCAGACACAGCCACTGATATTGAAGGAATGGGTGTATCCCAGGGTGATTTGGTGTGTGGAAGGTCCGCAAAGCCGAAAGTGGACTAGACTAGAAGAGACTGTTCACTCTCTGATGCAGCATCCCACAAACACTGGTTGGTGGTTTGGAACATTTTTTATTTTTCCATATATTGGGAATAGTACTCCCATTTGACTAATATTTTTCAGAGGGGTTGAAACCACCAAACAGATAGAGTATAAAACCCTGCCCAAACAGTGGGTAAATCACTTTTCCAAACTCCTTGCAGGTCACTACACCACGACATCCTGCGACTATGTGACTAAGTTCAAATGATATACCCTCTATTTAAGCTAACATGGCGACATAGAAAATAATCACTATTCATAGCTAAAGCTAAATCATCTATAAATAGGCAATTTTCCATAGGAAGCTGTTAGTCATTGCCAGTCGGTACCCGTCGACACAGCATATTTCCATCTCGCGCCTACGAGAGATCCGGACAACATGGCTACTGAAAGACAACAGCTCATCTCAACCATTGCCATGAGTGTTGATGTCTGACCTTGGCGTTAAGAGCCTCACAGGCAGAACCCGTGAAAAAAGTTACTTTACTTCGTGTGATCCCCACCATGACATTTATACATTTTCTTACTGGCAAATCTTCTGGCATTCTATCTGACATATCTTCCGGCATTCTATCTGGCATTCTATCTGGCAAATCTTCTGGCATTCTATCTGACATATCTTCTGGCATTCTATCTGGCATATCTTCTGGCATATCTTCTGGCATATGTTCTGGCATTCTATCTGGCATATCTTCTGGCATTCTATCTGGCATATCTTCTGGCATTCTATCTGACATATCTTCATATCTTCTGGCATTCTATCTGGCATTCTATCTGGCATATCTTCTGGCATATGTTCTGGCATATCTTCTGGCATTCTATCTGGCAAATCTTCTGGCATTCTATCTGGCATATCTTCTGGCATTCTATCTGGCATATCTTCTGGCATTCTATCTAGGTCCGGCAGTGCCCACTGGGATCTGGAGCTCGCGGTTGAGGTCCGGCAGTGCCCACTGCGATCTGGAAGTCGCGGTTGAGGTCCAGCAGTGCCCACTGCGATCTGGAGCTCGCGGTTGAGGTCCGGCAGTGCCCACTGCGACCTGGAAGTCGCGGTTGAGGTCCGGCACTGCGATCTGCAACTCGCGGTTGAGGTCCGGCAGTGCCCACTGGGATCTGGAGCTCGCGGTGGAGGTCCGGCTGTGCCCACTGGGATCTTGAAACCAACAGACGGCCGCTGGGCGATACCACTTCGCGCATCGTTGCAGTTCAGGGACGCCGATCGACTCTTCAAAGACACAGCAATATTGCACAATGAATGAAACCTCACGGTCGAACCAAAAATAGAAGGAGCCAATCGTCACCTAAAAGTCTAACATATTCTAAAATCCTGGTTTCCTCCATTACTATGTATATATATATACATATGTGTGTGTACATGGCAATCCATTGGGATATCCCCACTCTTGACCGTGGTGAAGCCACATGCCCAAACTTCAGCACGTGTCTTGCTGAGGCTACCTCCACGCCTCGAAGTTGGGAGTGGAGTCACTTGTGTTGAGCCACACAGAGGGCTGGGTGCGTTTGATACCATGGAGAATACCATGTGTATATATATATACATATACACATTATCTATTTGGTGGTTTGGAACATATTTTTCAGAGGGGTTGAAAACACCAATCAGTTATGGCTATACATATACATATCATTATATATGTATACAGTATAGCGATTATAAACACCTATGGCCATATAGTCGGGTATACCATCAATGTATGGCCATCAAATGATGTGGGAACATGATGGCCATAAACCATAAACCATGTTTTTTTCCTTACACTTTTTTCCTCCATCATTTATGAACCAGTGGAAAGAATGAACATTTTGTGCAAAAAAAATCAATCCTCAATGAAGTGCTTGAGAGGTCAACCAATGGCTAATGCCAAGTCGGCCAAGCCACTTCCAGGGGTATCCGCCTGTTCACCTGTCCACCTATCGACCTACCGATCAATCTGTCTGGCTATATAACGGCTATATATATATATACACATATATTCTTTATCTACCAATCTATCCTAGATTGTCTATCTATCCATCCACCGATCGATCGATCGATCTACCTCTCTGTCTGTTGGTCTACCTGCCTACCTACCTATCTATCTCCATATCTATCTCCCTATTTATTTATCTATCTCCGTATTTATCTATATCCCTTGTATCCCTATTTATCTATCCATCTACCTGTCTGTCTATCTGTCTGTCTGTCTGTCTGTCTATCTCTCTGTCTGTCTATCTGCTATCTGTCTACCTGTCTATCTGTCTATCTGCCTATCTATCTGATTATCTATCTATTTATCTATCTATTTACCTACCTACCTATCTGTCTATCTATCTGTCTGTCTATCTATCTGTCTATCTGTCCATCCATCAATATCCATATTCACGCGCATCATTGATACATCGTATTATCGTATTTAGAAACACCGTATCTTAGATGAAGCCATTTTGCATCCGAGGAGCTACCACTTCGAGGAACTCCGGGACGATCAGGTGTGGACAGCGGCTGGTTTCCATAGTCATGGGGACACCCCAATAGCTGGACGGTTCAAAATGGAACATCCTATTAAAATGGACGATTTTGGGGTACCCCCGTGACTATGGAAACCTCCAATATTTATATACACGCTCACATTAATGTAATACCTATGTCTTGACTTCATGAAAAAAAACATTTTTTTTGCTTCCGATCCGAACACCCCCATCGTATCCCCATGATATCCCCATCACCGAGTGAATATCTACTCCAATATTATTGCGAAAATCGACCATCTACCGCATATGTTTGGTTATACGTATAGACATGATTAGACATGTATATAAAGATATCCAATGATACATCTCCACAATATCCCTGTTGGAGATTCATATTGTAAATGATTAGTGTTCGCATTATCATGATACCCCATGGGCAAATTATCATTTTGAGATCCCAGGGTAAAAAAAACTGTTTCTCATTACCTATGCCTGGCATACCCCATATTGGTTGTGTATCCCACCACATATCGCCATGATTCACCCATCCCATAGACAAGACATGATGAATAAAGCCCTGCAAGTGATGGTACAACACATAGACAATGCAGATATCATGATAGTGAAACTCCTACTTAAGCACTGGTTAAGCGCTAATTTTTGCACCGCAGGTGGCTCGCGGCTACATTTCTTACGAGTCCATGCCGGCGGAAACTCCCGGCATGGACACGGGTGCGCCGGTGCCTTGTCTCCCGCCCTAGGGATGCTTCCGAAATGGTGGTACCCTCTGGTAAACATACAAAACACAATGGAAAACGGATAAATCCGCTATAAATGGCCATTTTCAATAGCAAACTGTTAGTTTACCAGAGGGTACCCCCCAAGAGCTCCATTTCAAGACGGAGGATTTAGGGCATTTAGGGCTACCCCCAATTTAGGAAACGTCGAAATTGGGATATTTATTAGGCAAAGAGGATTTTTCTTGGGGTACGACAGGATAAGAGACGGGGCTAGTTAACAAAATACATTTATCAATATATCAATGATATATCAATAATATATCAATAATATATCAATAATATATCAATAATATATCAATAATATATCAATAATATAGCAATAATATATCAATAATACTCTCGTGAAATCCAACTTGTTGCATTTTTTTGGCAATATGTTAGTTTTCGTTTTCTTTCGTTGAGAACCGCTAACATAGCAGCTGAAATCTTGCATGTTCATGGGATCATATTGATACTAACCTAACACCTGCCGCGCCTCCATCAGCACAAATTCCCAAAAGTGTCAAGTTAGTGTTCGTGCTGTGTTTGGGAACATGGCGAATACTCCAAAGCTGGAACCACCAAATGGAAGGTGCTATGTTTGCATCAAACTCCACGGAAAACATGTTTTAGAAAACAGGAAACCGAACACATCAATCAACCAATCCAGAATGAAAGTACCCCTGGTTGCTATGTTAGGTTATCTCTTTTGAGTCTCCAGCCGACCAGATCAAACCACAACTGTTTTTGGATGTCTTCCTGGGGCTCACCCTTACTGGACCCAAAAAAGCTTCAAAACCAACAATTTTACATAATAGATTGAATAAGGAAAAAACTCATGGTCGATGTTGCCAATCTGGCTACTTGCTGCCATGATGATTATGATGTACTATTGGAGGTTTTGGGAACCCTGGGCAAATGCTATGTTAGCAATCCTGTTGCCAAAACTCTGGTTTGGATTAAAAATAATGACTGGCACAACTGTTTTTGGATGTCTTCCTGGGGCTCACCCCTACTGGACCCAAAAAAGCTTCAAAACGAACAATTTTACGTAATAGATTGAATAAGGAAAAAACTCCTGGTCGATGTTGCCAATCTGGCTACTTGCTGCCATGATGATTATGATGTACTATTGGAGGTTTTGGGAACCCTGAGCAAATGCTATGTTAGTAATGTTGTCCAGCCAGTAGTGATATCTTGCCAATAGTAGAAACATTTTTCCGCAACTCCAATTTTTCTCCAATACTAAAAGTCAATTAGCTCTATTTACTTTTAGTATTGCCAAAAGAGTCATGTTCAGACCTTGTCCAGAGGGCATCCAGACAGATTCCCAAACCCCAACACTCAGACTTTTGTCCTCAGAGGGCTGGCAGATGAGGTTCTATCAGAATGTCCAGCTGAGTCTTATGAGTTCTCAGCAGATCAGCTATGTTTCTCAGTTCCATCAGAACTGCATACAGCAGCATCAGAACTAACAGACCTAGATACAGACTCAGAGCCTCAGCGCAGGTGAGGTAGCCAGAGGCCACCAGATAGTGCCACCAGAATGCCACCACAGGGATCCAGCAGAAGATGGGCAGCTTGCAGATCCAGTACGGAACCTCTTGAGCCCCACCCAGAACAGGCTCCAGCAGGAAGGCAACCACACAGGAAATTTCTTTCTGGAGCTGGACCAGAGCTTTGGTACAGACCCTGTGCTGTACATCAGGGCTGTACTCACCAGGCGCAGAGTCCACAGAAGAAGGCAGAGACATGGCGCAGATCAGAGGTGGGGACAGAGACACACAGACAGAAAGGCCAGAGGAGCCAGAGTGCTACATGCAGAACATCTCAGAAATCCACCAGAAACTTCACCAAGACTAAACAGAATCCATGCAGAACATCTCAGAAATCCAACCAAATCCTATGCAGATTCTAACAGAAACCAAACCAAATCCATGCAGAATCTAACAGAAACCAACCCTAATCCAACCAAATCCAATGCAGATTCTAACAGAAACCAAACCAAACCCATGCAGAATCTAACAGAAACTAACCCTAATCCATGCAAAATCCATACCCTATCTATCAGAAACCCAACCAAACCATGGAGAATCTATCAGATACGTATCATGATCCCAGCTATAAGGTTCCAAAAATTTACCATTGGAATGCTGACCCCCCCTAAATTTGTTAAAATAATTATTTTATTTAGGGGGGGGATTTACTATTAGGCAGCCTACATTAATCCTGTTGCCAAAACTTTGGTTTGGATTAAACATCATGACTGGCACAGCTGTTTTTGGATATCTTCCTGGGGCTCACGGGGCTCACCCTTACTGGACCCAAAAAAGCTTCAAAACGAACAATTTTACACAATAGATTGAATAAGGAAAAAACTCCTGGTCGATGTTGCCACTCTGGCTACTTGCTGCCATGATGATTATGATGTACTATTGGAGGTTGCCAGGATTCTAGCTAGGTTAGTCTCTTTCAGGTGCCAGGTTAGCACCCATCGCAGTTTTTGGATTTCCATTTCCTGGGGAATGCACAAATTATTCGCTCAACGGCGCCGGATGCTATGTTAATGAGTTGGTGCCCAACGGGCCCAAAATCTACCTAATTCCTTTTCCCCAGGCCGCACAACGGTACCGGATGCTATGTTAATGAGTCGGTGCCAGAGCTGATTTATGCTTTGTTAGATTTCATGGGTGTATATCAATAATATATCAATAATATATCAATAATATATCAATAATATATCAATACTATATCAATAATATATCAATAATATATCAGTAATATATCAATAATATATCAATGATATATCAATAATATATCAATACATCTCTATATATATATACATAGATGAAGACATTCAATGGGTGTACACTAGGAAAACCAAACAAACATGTCCATTGGCTTTGTCCGGAAATGTGGTATATATATATATCCTGAATCCAATTTGTTGAAGACTTAATTTTCCCTTTCACAGATCAAATCTGTTCATTTTGGGTCCCAAACCTATTCTCAATTGATTTGAACCTCGATGAACAAGCCTGGGGTTTATTTTGGATGTTTAACTCCCGCGCTAATGTGGAACAGAGGCTTCAGAACGAAAGGTCAAAACCAGCAATGAGAAAATGTTCTCTTCAAAATTGGAATAATTAGATATGGATATGGTTCTGTCTGAAATAGGGTGACCCAATTTCACGGTTTATCATCAATTTCCAATGAAATTCTTATTCTATTGGTATTTCCAATTTCACACACACACACTGTGCTGAACACACGCACACACACACACACACTGATACGTTAAAATTCGAATCACCCGTCATTTTCGGATGGCAGGTGCCCTATCGCGTGCCCTTCGAAAAGACCCATTGGGATGAGGACGACCGGTCACGCCGCAGATGCACCATGACTTGGGGTGATGGCCGGTGAATCCCACATATGAGCTATGGTCAATACTCATGGTTAATAATCATTAATAGGGGCTAGTCATCCAATGGTTCATAGGGATTTATAATAACCATTGCTGGTTTGCTGATGATCTGCACATGGTGGCTTTTCGTCTGAATTTGCTGGTGGGCAAATGCTTAACTTGCAAAACAAATTTGGCATTCCATTTCGATGGGAATGCACATCCAGGATGGCAATTGGGATGCGCATCCGGGAATCAGAGGTTGAATACATTGATATATGAATATATAAATAAATAAGTAAATAGATAAATAAAGAAAATAAATAGATAGATAAAAACACAGTCAATATTTTTGAAGTTATATGGTACGAAAATGTTGAATCCCGAAATTGGTGTAAATTTCAAGTCAAATTCACAGGAAAACCGACATATTTTGGGTTCTCAAAAAAATCCACTCCTATACACTAGGTTTGAATCACTCAAAATCATTCAACACACGCGTTTTTCTTTCGGGGTTCCAGAAATAAAGATCAAACACGAGAAAATGCCACAACAATTTTGGAAAACACAAAACAACATCAGGTTTTTTTTTAAACAAAAAAACTCATTTTTCCCAGCTCGAGAAAGACTAGCCACGCCGTTTTTTCACCGCGGCCGTGCAGGAGAGCCGTTGCTTCACTGCAGAGGTGGACTACTTGCGCCACTATGGGTCCACCTGGCAAGGGGTGGCCACAGTCACCTACAGGTGGAAACTGAAAAAATGGCGTTTGGCTGGGCTGGGCTACCCATGGGGCCAGTCACCCTCTGGTTATTTCACATAGCCATGGTATAGATGGCCCATAGAAATAGATGGTTTACCTATTAAAAATGGGTGGATTTTCCATGGCTATGTTAAATAACTAGATGGTATCATCCATTGAAAAATCGATGGGATTTTCCATTCACCAAGCACCAAAGACTAGTCACTAACCATTACTAACCACCATTCACCATCCAGTGAGGTCCCGTTTTGAAAAACCTTGGAGGATGGTCTTCGACCCCGAGTTCCTCTACATCCAGTCCGGCTCGGTGAAGTGTCTGAACCCCGCCGCCGGCACTGCCCCGGCGCCGGTGGCTGAGGAGAAGCACTTCGGTAAGGCGCGGATCCACGGGCGGGGGGATGTATCCCTTGGCTTCAACGAAGCTTTGAACGTACGATTTTTCAGGACTGAAACCCTACTAAAACCCATGGTTTCCTGAATGTTTCAGGACTACAACCTACTTAAACCCATGGTTTCCTGAATGTTAACAACATGAAACAACTCCATTTGATCATACTTGATTCCCCCAAGTTCCTTTGATCCACTCTAATCATGTGGCCAACCCCAAACCATACACAAACATCACAAACCATACCCTTTTAGCACCATATACATCCATTCACCAAATTTTGCCATTTAGATCATTTAGATCCAATTAATTAAGGGTAGTATCAAAAAACACACATACCCAAAAAGAGGTCTCTATTTTGATTTTTCATATTAGTTGAGTCATTGGGGTTGGTCACAGGCAGATGAATTCTGAGGTAGATTGGTGCTTTTACTTCACTCAAAGTGTTGGTCACCAAACATTCAACTGTTGCTATGTAGCGATAGATGCACGTGGTTGGGGATTCTGGCAATCAGAATCTTGGTTTGCTTCCGTTCCCATCACAATAGTTGGTGAATGTTGGTGACATTTCTCGCTTGGAAAGAATTCCCTACAATGTTCCTCGATGTATTGCGATGTTGAAATCTGCATATCTTTTTTTTTGCCAGCGACACAAAAAACTCTTAATGTCAACCCTAGATTAATAAACCCCAAACGGCTGTTTAATTGGGAAGGTACCATAAAAAAGTATCAAATTATCAAATCATGACTATTGGGGGAATCCCCCCCTAATAAACCATGGTCAGTTGATTCGGTGTTGACATTAGTCTTAGTGATACCCATGATGCTCGCGTACCCAGCACCAAGGATTTGGTCTACATTAACGCCGATGCCGGGCGGTACCTCCGTAGTCAGGCGGATCCAGCAGTCAGGAAGGTTTTGAAAAATAGTAAGTAACGTTAGTAAAGTTTATTCATTGCTAGCAATATTTTAGGTTTATATTATATATATTCAAGAAACTACCCATATAGATCGGTGGCTTGTACCAGCCACAAAAATTGCAAAAACATGGGGGATGTTTACTCCAAAAAATTTGGATGACCAACAACAACAAAATTGGATGACCAACAACATCTCGTAGGCGCCATTTTTTTGGGTGTCACAACGGGGGACTTTGGAAGCTTTACAAACGCTCTCGTGGCACGTTTCGATGAAGGAATGGATCCTGGATCCAGCCTTAGATGGGATGATTGGGATGGGTTATTCCTGTAGATCCCAGATGAAAACCGAAACCTTCAACCAGCCTCGATGTTTCCAGACAGTCGAATTTCAAGCATCCAATAATTTTTTTCAAGCTTTGTGACCTTTGAACTCATTTCCTCCTGACAGGTTTTGATTTTTGGATTCCATGTCACATTTTTTCGGCGAAGAGAAGGTCCCATGTCTTGAAGGTTCTTATCCGAAATTACCCTCTGGTAAACTAACATAACTATGGAAAATCACCATTTTTTATGGGTAAATCCACTATAAATGGCCATTTTCAATAGCTACGTTAAATTACCAGAGGGTATATTTTAGGACCACGATCATCCAGAAGTTTGATCAGAATTTCGGCTTCCTTGAAATTCGCAAAGAATGTAGACTGCCACAGGTCAAAATGGCCCCAAAAATATGACGAACATTGGAGGTTTCACAGCAAGTTTTAAACCACCAAAGTTGGAACACACAACCATATCCAGATGACGATGACGATTATATAAATCCAGCAACGACTTCCACAAACTCCCCGAGTTTCTGAGTGATGCAGCGATTCTCGACCTTCGGCCAGGCAGACAATGGGCGCAAGCCCACACTGCAAAACGTCTCACCGCAGATTCAAAGATCTCTGCAAGAAGCGTTGGATGCTGCCAATAAGCGAAATGACAGGTAAAATTTGCTGAGTCTTTGGCTGCCCCCCAAAAAATTGGAGCTGTTTGAAGTGCAATGGTTGGAAGTTGTGGGCGTAGATTTGTGAAGATTGTGGATAGCAATAGTCTAATACATTCTAATACTATGCAAATCCCAAGTGCATCCAAGTGCTCAGAAACTGTTTGGATTCCCATGGGGTGATGGTGGATCCTTGAGCCATCAATCCACGGAAGGGCATCCCATGGGAGGTTTTGAGCACTTCCCATATGCAGCGGGATAATCTCCACTACTTGTGAGGACAAGACCAGTCATGGGTTGAAAATGGGGTACCCAAACGCGCCACCGGTAGCCCGATTCATCCACTGATGAATCACACATTTCCGTATCATTCATATTTATGAATCATTATCATCACTTTTCCTACAAAGTTGGAGGGTAGGCCCCATTTTCAGAGACACACACACACATGTGCATACATATACAAAAATATATGTATAGCTTGCCTTCATTGTAAGGACTCTTCTTTACAGGGTTACGGATGGAAGGCCCCAAAGGTTCGAAAAACGACCTTAGTTATCGCTGGATTGGATCACCGGGGAACTGAGCCTCACAAAATCGTGGATTTAACATGATTTACCCTCTGGTAAACTAACATAACTATGGAAAATCACCATTTTTAATGGGTAAATCCACTATAAATGGCAATTTTCAATAGCTACGTTAAATTACCAGAGGGTAACCATGAAACATGATTTTTTTGCGGCGCGATTTCACCCCATTGATTCCTGAAAGTAGGCGAAGACGAAGATGAGCCAGAACCGTTCCTACAGCTGGCGCCGGCATGTTTGATCGCCGGATGCTGGATGCCCTCCGGTAATCAAGTTCGCAACCTGAAAATTCCACCATTTATCGATGAATATCCCATCAAAAGCTCCTAGGTTCATTGGACATGTCCCGTTAAAACCATCCATTTTTCGTGGATTACCTTCTGGTAAACTATATAACATAGCTATTGAAAATGGCCATTGAAATAGTTGATTTACCTATTGAAAATAGTGATTTTCCATCGTTTTTTGTAGGTTTACCAGAGGGTATCCCATTCACATCCGACGCCAGGCTTGGAGCTGCCGTGGCACCGTTCGGACACCTGGAGAAACCATGGCTGAAGACGTGCCACTTTTGCTGGGGATCTATAGTAAAATGACCTAAATTGAAGAAGACGATGCAGGGTATCCATTTTTTCCATTCGATGAGACAACCGAGGAAAGACCCAGACTCACAGCCTGTGGTCGTTGTTTTTCCCCCTTCATTTGTAGGAAGATGCTTGTAAGTCAAATTCAGATTTCTTTCACATATTATATATATATATATATTATATTCATATTTTCTCAGCTTTGAACACTTCTACTCTACGTATTACAATCTCCGAGTGATCTCTTTTGCGAATTTCGCTCAGCAGGATCAGCAGGTCCGTTGATGCCTTCCCATAAAATACTTGCGTGACTGATGTTTTTGTCATGTTTTCTGACAAGTTTGTATTATCATCATTATAGTTATCATCATGGCTATTGTTATCGCTGTTATTATATTATATATATATATCTTATATCTTATATATATATATATACATTATATCCCATTGTTCCTATCATTTTTGTGTGATGGTATATTATTACTATTCCTATAACCATCATTCCATTATTCTTGTAATTATCATTCTTACTACTATCAGCTATCAGTATAGTTTTTCGTATCATTTTCTCCAGATGCAGAAACTCTGCGTTTCTGAACCGGATCTGGCGATTGATTTAGGCCCGACGCGGAGAGTGATGACGAAGATCAGGAGGGCTTGGCCATCCCATGCTTGGGCCCAGGGCTATTAATGGATATACCGATGGTAATAAGACCTATAAGTATCTAGAAGTTGGATTGCATTCCTTATAACAATGATTATCCACTAAAAAACCTGGAACTGCAACGCCAAGTGCTAGTTCCAGGTTAGGACCTTTTCTTTTTTGACCCACGGAAATGGCTTGTTGAAAACAAAAACAGCTAACCAATGGTCCTGACTTGACGGGTCAGGACTGAAGTGAGAATGACTTTAAGGGTCAAACTTAAGCTATATAGTTTGATTTGTTAGCATTCAAACAAAACACGTTTGGGTTCATCAAACTCTGTGGGCTTCGCGTGCCCTAAAGGTTGACTTAATATATCTCGCAAAACTTACAGCTCTTCTGCTTGTTTTTTTTTTTAATTTTTTTATGTGAACTATATACTTGTTGCGGGGGGCTGACCCGGAACCAGATGGGTCTATCATATTTTTCAATGGAGCGGTTTCCAACTTTTTTGGTGAGTGAACATCAGTCCTTTGGTTGATTGTTGGTCAGCACAATGTCTTGAATTGATTATGTACTTGTGTACATGCCATATATATGTATATATATACACTGTATGTACATGCCCAGAAGCATGTCCGCTGTTTGGCTGGAGATCGTTCCAATTCTTTTTGGTTCGATGTATTTCTTCTTCATGGGTGAAAGATGAAGATGGATGAACATTGATTGCATCTTCGCTGATCCAAGCACTTGTCTGGAGCGTCCACCCATCGGAAGGGACAACACATATGGCTATAAAATTGAGTTTCATCAAATCCTTCCCGTAGACTTGGGTTAGAATTCAACTAGCCTACAGAATGAACCATACCTTTGAAATTGGACTACCTTTAGAATTGTGTTCAAGCCATAGTTACCCAGCCGCGATGAGTCGTTCCCCATGCAGTTCTAGCTCAAAACATATCAAAGGTTTAGAATTATCAGTGCCCATTTCTATCAAGTTTTGGAGAGGTTTGCATCCCATTTGCTTGATGGCTCCAAAACTAGAAATCAACCCAAAGGCATAGGATGCTTATGGATGGTTACAGTATCACAGTATGTTATAAAATGTTTTTGGAGAACCATCCCGCATGCCCGCCACTGTCTTTAGCACAGGAGGTGGTCCCAATTGCTGGGGCCCTGGCAGGTTGGAGACAGACTATTCTGTCAACATGTTTGGATCAATCCCATGACTATAGCACAGTGGTACCCTCTGGTAAACCTACAAAAAAGCTATGGAAAGATCCACCATTTTCAATGGGTAAATCCACTATTTCAATGGCCATGTTCAATAGCAAACTGTTAAATTACCAGAGGGTAAATGAATAGTGAAATCCCAAATTTAAAAACTCCAGGCTTGAGGACCCTGAGTCATATTCAGCCACTGGAGTTTCACGACGTAGTGACCAACATTCGGAATTGCATGGCATTGACTTCACTTCAACATGGGAAGGGAGCCATGAAACCGCGGCTCGTTTCATCCTGCTTTTGTTCTTCATCCTTTTTCTCAAGTACCCTTTTGGGAATCAGGGATGGCCATGACAAATCACCCCCATTTTGTTCGATGATGTTCCCACTAAAATTAACATCCCATTTATATGTTCTTCCCATATATATATATATATGTAATTATATATATACAGCATTTCCAGTTTGCCATGTTTGTGCTTGCCCACTGAGGCTGGAGCCAATGAGTCCGGAGTCCCAATCTTCGGCCTGTGGATCAACCTTCAGTGGTCTTGAAATGGAACGCTGGTGCTGGGATCAGCCCATCTGAGGCCCGACGTTCTGACCTCCAGAGACGATTCGGCTGGCAGCAGCTCGGTTGAACAACAGCCAAAGCCATCTCCGCCGCTGGTGATGTGGCCGTGAAAATGGGAGAATACCAATGAATTGGCCATAAAATATGAGGAGTATTTCATTAACGATCATTTGATTTGTCAGATCACCATGGATCAACCAACAGAACATTGGGAGATTTTTTGACGAGGACACAGATAGAAGTGCAACCAAAGAATTATGTTTGTTGCACGTTGGTTCAGATTTCACTGCTCGAACCTTGCCATGTGTCACTAAGAAATCAAAATCTAAACTCGCGAAAGATGGGTAGAGAAACATGCGGATGGACCCATAAGAGAAAAGGGCGTTTCACACATTCCAATGAGCAAAGATCACGCGAAGCTTTAGGTTGCTCCAAGCTTTTTCCTGCTTGATGGCATCCCGGGGCCCAGGTGCACAGAGGGCTGATGCGGAAGCAGCGCTCAAGGTGCGGGCCCTTTGGAAAATCCATGAACATCCCCGAACTAGATGGATCTGATGGATGTTTCTTGACAAATTCATGTAGAACTGCGGGAGATTCTGGTGACCCTATGGAATTGGGGAAACACATTCCATTTGTTCAGGTCTGAATTGTTTTTTCAGGGCTCAAAATGATCAACCACCTATTTTGGAGGAATCAAAAGACATGGCTTGAATTCAAACTCAAAGAAGCAACTTTTGGGTTCCATTGGTCCCCAAAAATGCCTCGCCGTCATCTGAAAAGATCCATCTGTTTGCATCAGGCGGCAGCTGCCTTGGCTCGGAAGACCCAGATGTCCAGGGGCCCCCACGGGTAATATCCTCCCGCAACATGAATGGGAAGTCCCCGAACTAATGGGAAAATCACCGAAGCCAAAAGGGGGATTTTCCATTGCCATGTTTTATTACTCAGGGGTAAGTACGATTTCCAGATGTTCAGTATAGTTTTCTGATCTTTCTTCGGTATATTGCCCTTTTCCCGCTGACCGGTTGAGTAATGAAGAGGTACAGCAACCTTCAAGAATCCATATATAAGTGTATCATGGCAAATGCTATACCAAACGGACTCCTCTAGTTCTCCCAAAAGGATATCTTCGTTTAACCTCAATTGCATGGTTATGCCCCTCAGAGGTGTTCCACCCCAGCGGATGGGGAACAAGCTTTGAGATTTGGAACCCCGAAACTTCAACCTGGAAGGCAAATACGGCTTTGTCGTCATCATTTTCGCTTTTAAATGGCCATTTGGGGAGTATACCTCAGAATACCTCATTTTCAGACCCATATATATATATATATATCTATATATATATATATTGACACCTCTTGTGGGTCGATGTCTATCTCTAACCTTTCGGCTCAAGACGACACGTCCGAGAGCGGCAGCGCCTTTCGGTGGCGCGCCGGCGCGCTCGAGGTTGGGTCCAGTGCTTGGTTGTGTCAACATTCATGTCATGGCAACATCGGGCCTACAAGGTGCTTGAAGCATTTTACATCACAGATTGGTGACATCACCGAGATTTAGCCCTAGTCATAGTCACAGCCGATTCGAGCTGGCCCCGGAAATGATGGGTTTTACACGGAGAGCAACCACGACTGCCAACCTCAACCACGTGCTGGATCAACATTGATCCCAGAAGACTAAAGATGCTACCCTTTTTGTCAATGACTAAGAGGTGGCGAACTGGAAGCCATGGCCCACGAACAGTTCGATGATTTACAGCCTGCATGTTGTCTTGAACCTTCCAATGAGTCAACTTATCAACCAAATGAGTTTGTCTGAAAAATAGGCTACCCCTAGAATTGATGGATATTGATGGCTTAGAAACTCATTTTCCCATATTTTCCCTATTGAGTGGATATATCTAGTGGTACCCCGTTTTCAGACACACCCAAATCGAGCAATAGCATTTTCAGTACGAAATCATTGAATTTCTGGGGTCGTCCAAAAAACCTGAGCCTATAGCCCCTTAATTTTTGGGCAAAGTTCCAGTTCTTATCAATCTCTACTATAGTAAAGCCTTTTTTTCCGCCAATTTACATGGGGTAAATCTCGTTTCGTTTCCGATTTCTACGGGTTTTTTTCCCATGGTAAATCCTCCTGAATTTTTCGTAGAGGATCGCCTTGCCGCGGCTTCATCCGCAGGACGCGATGGAGGAGCTCACAGGTCCTTTTCAGGAAATTACCCTCTGGTTATGTCAAAATAGCTATTGAAAATGGCCAGTATGGTGAATTTTCCCATAAAAAATGGTGATTTTCCATAGTTATGTTAGTTTACCAGAGGGTACCAGGAATCAGGATGAAGAACCAACCATCAAAGGGGATTTCACATGATTTAACCAACAAAAATACGATGGTTTGAATGGTTGAAGCAGCAAATATATGGAACACATATATTTAGCCCACAATCTAACGGAATGTGGAAACATCATGATAAAAAAGATGATATCATGGATACACAATGAATTACGTAGGGATGACAGTATTGGTATATGAAGGGCTTTTTATCGACCAACAACCATCCATGCGAACCTGAAGCTGCTATCAGCGGGTCGGTCACCTCCCCCATGGGGAGGGGTGCTTTTCCATCCTCATGATCTCATGGTGATAATTTGTGTACTCAAATACGCATGTTTTGGACAACACTTTCAATGCAGATTTTGCCATGAAAACTTGGAATGAACTGACATAATGTTGACCCAGGATTGCTAAACCCATGGTTTACTGAATGCAGGGGTACCAAATTTACTGTCATGGGTGCAATTTACCACTATTTTGGGGAACCCCTAATTAGTCAACTGGTGGTTGCATATCAATGTGGGGTTGACATTCATGGGTAACCCACAATAATGGGGGGAAAAGAACCAATATGGGAAACTTGGTAATGGAATCAGCAAGCCATAGGGATGTACTCAGCAAAAAGTTGGCATTTACTCCGAAAATCAACTTCCTGTTCCGATTTTTTTGTAAAGTTTAAACCAGATGTTCAGTATTTATTATTTTCGTCATTGTTCCATAGTTTTCCATTTCAATATTTTTCTCATCGTTTTCAAGATGTATTTCCTTTTGTTCCCATCTTTTCCCCAGTTTTTCTCATCTTTCGCCATCTTTTCCCTCATATTTTCCCAGCTTTTCCTTTTTTTTTGGGCATTTTTTTCCAATCTTTTCGCACTCTTTTCCCAAGGCCAAGTTTCCACCGAACTGCACCGAACGCCGCCAGATGTGGTCCGCCTGCGGCAGAAAATGGATCCCGAGCTCCATGTGCGGGAAGAATGCCGCTGGGTTTGGAAATTTCCGCGCGAATTTAGGGGGTTTCTTTCAATGGCGGAAAAAGGCATCGAAGAGATCAGGTCTTGGAAAAAACTTCTGGTCTAGATGTGATGAATGCGGTTTTTTGGAACAGTGATGAGATGTGATGATGAGTGTCACTCAATAGGATAGAAGAGTGATCTCCTTGACGGGTGATGTGAAAAATATTAGGACAGCTAGGCAACAAATGCGAAGAAAAAAGTGGTTGACCTTGGAAGTTCTGTTTGGAACCGACAGAAATAAGGATTTAACCACGGAAAAAAGTGATTGAAGCCTTCTAGTGGAAACTAATCTTCCAACCCACAGTTGAGAGCAGGGTCTATGTTAATATTGAGGATGGTAACTGATTGGAACTTTAGTGAGTGGAAATGGAACTGAAGCGAGATGGATTAAGAAACTAGTGATTGGAAATACTGTATAAAACTTTCATGACCTATTCTTGGAATAAATCTGAGATAAATGATTGGTAGAAGTACAGGAGGTCACAGATTGATGGCCCCGGTAAACGTTGATTCGTATGCCATCAATACGGGAAAAAAAACCTCTCAAAACGAAAAGGGTGGTTTTGAGGTGCTACGCTTCATTTTTTCCGTAATCGACGTGCCTAGATGTGCCATCTTAGTGTTCCGTGGCAGCCCCTCACAAGTGGTGTTGAAAAAAATCTGGCCACCCAAAAACGTTTCACCTTTTTTTGGTGCTTATATGAAACATGTGGTTCTGAGGTTCTACTGGCCATTTTTTCGGAATGGAAAGTGCCAAAAAATCCGACCAGCCACACGTGGTCCATGCAAATAGTGCTTCCTATGTGAAAAAGGTAGTTTTGCAGCGGTTTTCATCTTTTTCGAACAGGATGTACCTGGATGTGTCTTAGTGCTCTCTGTTAACAGCCCAAAACTGGTGTGTCAAAATGTTGCAAAAATTGAAGAATCAGGTTGCCAAAAAGGTGTTTAACCCATTACTTTGTCCAATGTGAAACAGGTGTTTTTTTGAACCGCTACTTTTTGTTTTCTTTTGATTTGATGTGCCATCTTACCCCCCAAAACCGGTGGACAGATGGGAAAAAGAAACTGCTGCCCAATGTGTTTTTTCAACACTAAGATTGCATAAGTTAGATTTCTTTGAATTGATCGTAGCGATTCTGCTATTCCTATTGGGGCAGGCACGCTAAGATGGCATAAAAAGGGCCACCCACCTATTCGTATGCCATCATTAAAAAATGACATTCGCTTGATATGCAATCTTGCCGGGCGCAGTGAAGATGCCATCTATTCGTGATCCCCTATAAGGTACCCATGGAAATGTGGTTCACCTTGGAATAACTCGCTGGTGATAGCTGACATCTTGGGAGTTCAGTGATGGGGTGAGGAAACCCCCATGATGTGAGACGAGCAGCTCAGAATGATTGAGATGTTGGAAGACCTTTTGGAGATAATTAACGTACTGCAAAGGGTGTACCCTCCAGCAATTTAACATCCTGTAGCTATGGAAACCCATATTTTTGACGGGTAAGTCATCTATAAGTGCGTCATGTTCCATAGCTTTATTAAATTACAAGGAAGTACTTAGGACTTTGCTGTTTTTGTTTACCAAAGAATTGTCCAAAAGTGGTGATCTTACCATGAAAGCTTGGGTTCACTTCTGCAAATGGTGGATGCCTGTGCCGCTTCGCCAGTTTACAGAGGTTGTTTTCCCATAAAAGGGGATTTCCGCCTCAACCCGTTTTCATAGGGATTTATATTAATTATATACCCACTATGATTAATTTCATAGGGATTTATAAACCTATTATCAACCCTTTCATAGGGGGATTTAATAAAGATGATGTTTAGGTTCCCACTATGACACTGGATGACCAGCTCGCACATGTGTCCCGCTACCGTAAGGCCGGTTACGAGTGCCAGACAAGCAGCAGCTGGCCATGGTACCACAGGACCGCATTTTCAGTGCAGAAAATGACCTTTCTGGGAAAGATTGTGAGACAATTTTCCCAACATACCCTCTGGTTATGTCAACAGTTTGCTATTGAAAATGGCCATTGAAATAGTGGTTATTTTCCCATTAATAGCATGGTGGATCTTTCCATAGTTATTTGTAGGTTTACCAGAGGGTATCCCAAGTAGCTTTTTGGAACGCAGCGGATCTTTTTCTGGAGATCGATATACTGTAGGTTTGCCCAAGAATCGGTAGTCGACCAAATTTATGGCGATTAGACATCATCACATTTGGGGTAGACACACCTATATTGGGCATTCTTCTCATTAGTTAGTAAGTGGGTATCCAGTGATACGTGGAATATACCCAATCATGTTCCCATGCGTAATATCCCTATTATATTCCAATCGTGGTTGCTTAAATCCCCAGAAAAAAGTGCCCAAAGACAGCAAAACTATCCCATTCACTATGCCCGAACATAATCCAGGGAACCAATAATACATTACAAGTATCCCGCGTATGATTCCTTACAAGGGTGATGCCCCGCCAAGTTTTTCCAGTTGCTTGATCTTTACCCATAGTAACTATAGATATATCTACTATAAGCCAAGGTTTTATAGTAATCCAACACTAATACAATAAACCCAAATAAACCCTATCTTTGCGGTTGATATATCTACCCATAGTACTAGTGAAATTGGAGTTTTTTACAACCAGCGGCCGCTGGCCGAATGGGGCACCGTACCCGACAGGACATCAATCCGCGCGGCTACAGCAAGTGGCCTTTGGAGCGCTTCGTGCGTGCAGCACATGAAGGGGACGTGGAGCTCTTGGGAAAGATGCCGCTTCGGTGCAAGCTGGGTTTTCAATCTGGGGAATGGCATGATTGTGAATATGAATCAGTATATGTATATATATATATATTATATATATATATATGAATGCATATATGGATGAATCTATGGATGAATATATGGAAGATTGTGGATGATTAATAGGATCATTCGCCCCAATGACCACCAGTCAACGGTCATGGTTTTTGGTTTGGGATCATCCATGGTGGTTTCACTAAGACGTGCTGGGGATCCCAAGTGACAAGCTATGACTTTCACGGGTGCCCCTTTTTGGGTGCCAGGAATGTGGGGATCAGATAGGGGTACCCCTGAAGATCCTTAAATATTAATCAAGAAAAAATGGGGAAGAAACAAGCATCAGATATGGTGATCTTTCGTTTTTTCATCTGTGTCATGAACGGCATAGAGCAGGGATATAACGGGATATGATCATAGAACATTATGGGATTTATCATCAATAAGGCGGAGGTAGATTGGTTATATTAATATATATATATACACATACATACATACATACATACATACATACATACATACATACATACATACATACATACATACATACATACATACATACATACATACATACATACATACATACATACATACATACATACATACATACATACATACATACATACATACATACATACATACATACATACATACATACATACATACATTAAGAATGACAACCGGAATTCATGGGGAAACCGACATGGACTATCATTGTTTTTCACCCCGTAATGATAGTGGCAATGGTGGTTTCCTAGAATAGAGTTCAAGTTGTTGGACATGTTTATTGATGGACAAACAGTGGTCTCGGGGTACCCAATTTTAAGAAACACACCCAGATGTGGCCAATTCGCACGTGACTGTAAGGAGCGTTTGACACACAGAGTGACACCCATATTCCCAATATATATATATAATATACAATATATATATATATAATATAATATAATATAATATAATATAATACAATATATAATATAATATAATATAATATAATATATATAACACACTGGTAGGACAAAAGTTGCGCTTGTTGAGCTTCCCAAATGTTTGGTTTCTTCTTCTGCACATCCTTTCCCCGTAGAATCCTAGCATGGAGCTTTGTCGTACCCCGGTCGCATTTCCACCCTCCAAAAGCTTTAAAATCTTATATATTTAAAAGAGGGTGATAATTGACCGTCCCACACCTGCCACACAAAACGGACTTGAAAATGTGATCCGTAGCTGACCGAGATGGATGTTTCGTAAAGCTTTCAAGAAGTATAAACTTTGTTCCTCCTGAAGCATATATACTATATATATAATATGTAGTATATATAATATGTAGTATATATAATATAATAGAATAGAATAGAATAGAATATAAAATATATACATAATAGTATATAATATAATATAATATAATATATAATATATAATATATAATATATAATACATAATATATAATATATAATACATGATATATAATATATAATATATAATACATAATATATAATATATAATATATAATATATAATATATAATACATAATACATAATATATAATATATAATATATAATATAATATATAATATATAATATATAATATATAATATATAATATATAATATATTATATATAATATATAATATAATATAATATAATATATTCGTTGACTCACAAGTGGGGTCCGGGTTTTACCCCCGTCCACTTTGATGAATCCAAAGTTTTCATGTGTTTTTTTGTCCGCAAACTTTTGATGTTTTTTTGTCCACATCCCACCATTTTGCCAGTGACATCACCAAGGCTGAACCGCGAAGATCCAATTGATGGCTACCATCATGACTTCAATGCGCATCACAAGCCAGATGGAAACTTGGCTTCTGTCAGCTTCATACTGTGGATGGAAGAAATCCTGCACCACCTTGGATGGTCAAACCCCTATAAATAATGGGATAAACCTCCTATCCACTGGTGCAGGATTTCTTCCATCCACCGTATGATGCTTGTGGCACAGTGCGGAGTGTATGATTATGCATGATTTGTATGGCTCCACTGGCCGGTTTTTTGAGCCTGGGATTAAGCCCCTGAAGTTTTAGGGACAACGGCAATGATGTTCTATTCCTTTGGATGGCTATTACAAAACCTAACCCATGGAGACCCATGCATGTCCATCCTAAAATGGCGCGTTTCTCTCAAAAATGGTTATTCTTGGGGATGACTTTGAGATGTTTTTTACCAGCTTTTCCCACGTTTCACTCCCCACGCTGCGGTGAGGCTACAACGCCCTTCAAGCGGCGGCAATGGCTGGGCAGAGCGAAACAGTGCAGATGCTACTCGAGGTGGGGCCCCTGAACGATAGCTCCGATAGCGATAGCAAAATTGGTGGGATTATGAGTAAAATCTCATGGGTTTAATGGTACTTCTATCATTTTCATGGGTTTTATGGTACTTCTCATCATTTTTTCTATATTTTTTCTATAATTTTCATGGTACTTCTATAATTTTTCTATCATTTTCATGGGTTAAAAATAGACCAAAGTTATGACTTGGGAGCCCCACGAGTGGCCATGGCATAATCCAATGGGATATCACCGGTCATGGCTTAGAATCCAATTTCGATAGATACTATGAAGTAATCACCCATCCAAACACAAACATAAACCCCAACAGCCTAAACAATTATCCCCCTCATCTTAAACCAAACCATCAAGTGAAAGTTAGGGGCAAAATATTCCCAAAACCCCCACCACATAAAACATCAAAGATAAGGAAGACACATTGAACAACAACATAAAAAAACATAACAGGCAAAAACACCCTCAACAAAACCTACCCTCATCGAAACCAAACATTATTACAACAACCTAAAACATTTATTTATATATATATATGTAGCAATATAACCAAAAAGAAACAGTCAAACATTTCAGATTACAAGATTGAACAAAAACATGACAGCCTCCCACCTGACCTACAGCCTGTCTTGTCCTAGCTTCCCCCTTCTACCATTTTTTTATGGGACATGACACGGGACATTGAAAAAGTCATAAATCCCATCCCCGAGAGATCCGTTGCAGGCAACCCAGCAGGCAACCCGTTGCACTTTCAACATCTCTGTGTTGCAGAATTTCATGTTGGCTACAGTATATAGATTATATAGTACACTTGACCGTCGACCCGTTTTTTTTTGCCGCTTCCAATGGCTTTAATCATCTCCCAAATAGGGGATCCACACTGACCTGGCCGTGCAGGCTGGGGTAGACCCACACGTGAAGCGCTGCATGTCGGAGGGACAGGATCCCAAAGAGGGCCCCACTGCGCGGGAGCTCGCAGATCAGTTGGGGAAGCCCAGGATGCCCATGGATTCCCCATGGATGTCCTACCAACGCCGTTGGGAGGGCCAGTTTGAGGGGATGAATGGCGATGAATGGCGATGAATGGTGATCTTTCTAGGATTCATATTTGATATTTGGTAAGACCAAGTATCAGTGGCTTGGTGATCTGCAAAATCACAATGTGTCATTGCTCTGTAGACTCAATACGATGATTTGATTCCATATCGGTCCCTGCAAAGACACTGTATGCCTTGCACATGCCATGGCATCATTCCAACTTTGCGGATACGAGCGTTTCTCGAAAAAACAAACACATGTAAATCTGGTGGTTGTAAGCTGACGTCCCACAGAGAGAGCACAGTATGAGTTCTTTAATCACGGTGTGAAGCCAGCAGCCAGGCGCTTGGGAAAATGATAAGAGGAAATTCCATAACGTGCGGAAACACCATTTGAAAGGGCGGGTTTTCAGACAGCCCCACATGATCCTTACATGAGGATTAACCGAACCTTAGTGGTCCCAAATCATGAAGCTCCATTCCTAGTGGGTTTTGGACACCTCATTTCTGGTCAAGTCGGGTAATTAAATGGGGTATGGTTTATCGTTGGTTTTGTGTACATCGTTAATTGCAACCTGGATGAGTGATTTCAATGATAGTTCTGACATTCCTGCCTCTTCTCGAGTCACTGTAAAAAGTGCCAATGCGCCATTGAGGACCTTCTTACCCCACGGTTCCTTTTTATGTTCGAAACAGATCACTGTGCCATATCGTTTCACTTTTTTTGTTCTCCCCTGGAGCCACCCTATGCGCGGCAACTGAGGCATGGTTGGGATGACATTGCACCTGGGCACAGTTTTTTTTTTTTTCGCACCGCTGGGGAAAACTCAACTTTAATGCAACTTACTCTTGTGCATTTTTTTTAAACGATGATATATATATATATATCCATATCTATATCTATATCTACATCTATATCTATATCTATATTAGATCTATACCTATATCTATATCCATATATTTATATCATATGTATATACATATATACGCACACTGTATATATGCACTATATATATACATATATGTATATGTATATATTGTATATATTACATTGTATTAACCCACGCAGAAAACAACACATCGGCTATGTTCATTTTCACTGCTTTAGCTCGCCGAGGCAGCTGCCTTGAAGGAGGCCGAAAAGAGCTTCCCTCGAGGCTTGTACAAAGAGTTGCTTGGAGAAGGTTTGGATCCAACATTTAACCTGGTTTAACCTGGTTTAATCTGCTTTAACACGGTTTTACATGGTTTAACATGCTTTAACATGGTTTAAAATGGTTAAAGTTAAAGCCATCAATTACATGGATATGAATTTCATAAGAAAAGGGGATTTGAAAGAAAAAAAACACACACACACACATAAAAAATAAGCTTTTGAGCAGCAAACCGGAGGGAAATTGAAGCACCAACGATATGGATTTTTGGCAAGTGTGGATCAAACATGGGGATAAACCAGCAAACATTGGGGGATCTGACCATCAAACAGGTTTGTTCGCCAGAGCTGCATGAACATATTGGGATTGAACCATCTAACATGGCGTTGTGAAAACATGGGGGGTTGAGCCATAAAACCATATCAAACATGGATGGGTTGCTGATTCATTCGCCGAATCCGGAGATTTCCGAACAAACGGAACTAAAGCCAATCAACAGTATATCCTTTGGAATTCCTTTGGGTGAAATGTGAAGACTAATGGGGGCAGGTTGACAAGAGGGCATGTCCACATGAAATACTCCGATCGCCCCCGCATATGCTGGTAGTTGCACGCACGCGTTTATTTCTAGTTGTCTGCTTGCCTGTTTTTCTTCCAGAATCTTTGGGTGTAAAGTCATGCTAGTAAACAAAAATAAGCACCAAGCAAGCCGCATCATTGTTGGGGAAGCGTTTCACACCCTGCAAACTGGCAAGCGTCCATTCTCTTGAGGCCATGTTCATTGGCCATGGGTGGAATTTGAGCAGAAAATCTCCAGATCCCCAGTTCCAACCATTAAGGGCTGGGTGACCCCTAGGGGCCCTTTTTGCCCTTAAGGGCGCATCGCCTCCGTCGAGGTTCGGGCCCAACAACAATGCGAAGCTGTGGCCCATCGATCGCCCAGAAGGGTTGGATCCAGATCAAGAAAAACGCGGGGACGCCTGTCTTTTTTTTTGGGCGGGGGTGGAGTTTTCCACGTTTTGTACCTATAAAATATGTAGATGTTACGAATGAATCAGGGGGATTCTGAATATGAGAATGGGAATATCGAAGATGGCAAGATGATTTTACTTTTTTCTGATAGTGAGCCCCCTAAATGAATCCAGTTTCATGGCTTATCGGCTAGATCCCCCAGCCATTTTTCGAGGTGCGCGAGAGGCCTACAAGAAAATGTCCAGGCCCATTCCCCACAAGGCGGTGACAATTGGTTGAGCTGGGCACTGACATTGATGGAAAACATAGGGTAAAGACAGGTTTTTTGGAGATATAGGATACAGACTTAACAGTCAAAGATCTTTGTTTGATTGTTTGTTTGCTTGGATTCTTGTTTTGGTTTGCATTTTCGTTGTTTTGTGTGTTTGTCGGCCTGCTTTTGTTTTAGGACTTCCTTTGTACTCACAGGGGCAGTGTCTTGGGCCTGTAAACCACCAATCCACCACTGATCATGTCCGAACCTCCGCCCACAAGCCATATGAATTCACTGCTCATTTTGGATCGGAAAGTGTTCCATCTACTTTGGGTGCTCAATGATTTGAATTAGTAGCCATCCGGCATCATCCGGCCATCCGGAACATGATCGGACAATTCCATAGCTGGCCTGGCCACCATGGCAACTTGGCTTTCGGCAATGGCCCTTCCCAGACACAGGGTGACCACAACGGACACGTCCCCGTTGAAAACTGGGAGGTCATCGGGGTGCCTGGCTATTTTACCCCATTTTTCTGGAGGTTTTCCTGGTAGATGCTGAAAGGTTTTCCGGACACCGCCGGCACTTGGCCAGGAAGACCGGCTCTTTTATGGGGACCTGGTCTTTGGTGTGAACTTCGGCACCGACACCAAGGGGACTCTTGGCAAGCATGGATCGGAGATTCGGGGTACATTGAGCTACCAAGACCTGGCTATTTTAAGCGACAATTTGACGTTAACAAACCCAAAACAACGGCTTCAACGGCAAAAAGGGGTGAAGTTGTATCAAATGTTACCTCCAGATGGACGAGAGTTCTGTCCTTGTCCCACTATTGAAGGTTGCATTCGATCGGTGAAACGGAGGTAGCTCAAATGTTTGTAACATGAGATAGGTGAATTCTGGAAACATACATGCCATGTGTCCCCTTTGTTACAGTACCTCATGCCCTCAGGCGCCCTCTTCGGAAGAAGGCTCGTGCATGCAGTCTTTCCATGGTACAACCAAGTTTGGTGACAAATGTATACATGTACCCCCCAAAGTTTTTTCTCGAAACAGCACCACCTGTCAGCTGCATTGTCAGAAGCCGCTTCCGGACGTCAATGGTGCCGAGACATGAGGTGTGCGGTTGGTGCAGTGGGTGAAAAACATCATCACCAAAAGTGAGTCCAAAAATGAGGGTTTGAAAACATACATACTGAGGGGATAGAATAAGATATTGGGGATGTACTGTAGAACCGTAGAACCACTTTTTTTTGCTGCGGTATGTCCAAAAGGGTGGTTGCCCCAAAATGACAATTCTATCAAATTTCCAGGTACCTCCTTTTCAGACTCCCAGGGAACGTGTTGAAGACATGTGAAAAGACCAATCATATAAGGTGGAAAAAAAAACGCTATTTTAAACAAACACATGGGACAAAAAAGACCGCCTTGTTGTTGTGATAACATTTTTTGAGGAGATTTTTTTTCAACTTCAGATACTATCGGAGTAGTATACCAATAAAATTTGGCTGAAGCGACGACTGGTGAATTTTAAGTGTATTTGCTATTCAGATCTGTAACTTGGAAGATCATGAAATATCACCTCCAAACTCCTGTATAAGCCGAAATCTGTAACATATTGAAGCATTGTTTATAAATATGAAACAAATCTTTACAATATGCATAAAACTCTAATACTGAAATATGTTTCAAACAGCTTGCTGTCTTTGTAACAATGAAGTTGAGCCCGTCTGGGTCGGAACTAATTCATATGCTTCGTTGATTTTGGTAGAGCTTGCCCCAGGTTGTTGTTTACAGAAACATGTTTGTAGATTGAATCTCTCTTGATGGATGTTCAAAAGGTATGAACATGTACACATATATATATATATATACATACACATGGCCATATGTAATATATATATATGTCTATATATGTCTAATGTATGTATAGTGTATGCACCAACATATGTTCCGCCGACGGATTGCCGACGGCCGCAGGTGCCATGGTGAAGTCAAGACGACACGACGCTTCCAAAATCGCTGGAAAAAAACATGCCGTGGAGGGAAGTCCACCATTTATTGATGAATGGTGAGCAAACTGGGGATTTTTTGCTGATTTAAGCAACAAAAACTGGGGATATTGGTGATATATATATATATATGTAATTACATATATATATATAATTACATATATATATAATTACATTGTGATTTTCCTATTTCAGATCTGTCTCCGTCAGGTACATGACCATTGGGCAAACTCTGTCTGTTACCACAGGCACTTGGCTCAGGAGAGCGAGGCGGGTGGGTTTTGTGGCACATAGTGCCTTGCAGCCATAAGCAGGTGACCGGGTCACCAATCCGTTGCAATAGGGTGTGGACACCCCTAACCTTGTGCCGTGGCCGGCAGACTTGGTGCAGTGGAAGCTGAAAAGCAAGCTTTGGGAGCGTCCTGCAGGTTTGGAAAGGGGAGACTGGCATAGGAGCATTTACATCATTTGCTGAGCTGGAATACCTTGATTTTCATTTGTTTGGACACCAACCATTTTTAACAGTTTTCCTGATCACCTTGGAGTTCACCTTGCAGAGCTGTGCTGCCATTCTCATTGGTAGCGGAGCTCCATCAAAGGAGCATCCGGGGCAATGTCTGGAGTAAGTGCGGCAGGATCAGAAACCGGAGGTGGCAATGGTGTGAGCAACCAGCTCGCATCACTTGTCCCAACTTTTGATCCAGCGGTTGACGACGTTCTCATCTACCAGCAGAAGGTGGAACTGGTTTATGCAGCATGGCCTAAGGCTCGTACAACAGAACTGGTGACAAGACTGATACTGGGGTGCAAAGGGTCTGCATTTCAAAAATTGCAGATCTACCAGGCCGAACTTTTGGACGGCAGTGAGAAATCAGTACACCGGGTTGTGGAGCTTTTGGGTGGCCAGTGGGGCCGTATACCTCTGCAGCGCCAGTATCAAGATGCTGAACGTGCGATCTTTGAGACGATCCAACGTAGTGATGAGTCAAATGACAGTTTTTTGGCAAGAGCAGATGTTCTATGGTCAAGACTGTTGGCGAGAAAGATGTCACTGGAGGACCTTCAGGCATACATCCTCTTGCGAGGATCACAGCTGAGCACCGAGGAGAAAAAAAGATCATCCTTGAGTCCGAAGCAGCTGGAAAGTTGTCAGTAACGAAGGTGACAGAAGTCATCCGTACGTTGGGTGCAAGCTTTTTCCAAGACATGACGAACCAGAAGAAATCAACACGATCGAAGGTGTATGATCAAGAGGCCCTTTTGGCCGATGCAACATGCGAGACTGAGGAGACCGACTCAGGACAACAGGTCTCAGAAGATCTGACCGAGGAGGAGTACTTGGAGCAGTTAGCCTCTGAAGGGGACGCTGATGCAGTCCTCGTAGCAGATTTTGAGTTAGCAGCCCAGGACACCATCCAGGAAGATTCTGAGTTGGCGGTGACTCTGACCGCATATCAACAGGCAAGACACCGCCTGGCTGAGAGATTCAGGAACCGTGGTTTTTTTCCAAGCCGACCGTTTTCTGGAGGCAAAGGCAAGGGATTTGGATCCAAGGGGGGCAAAGGTAAAAGTCCGCCACCATGGCAGAATCGTCCAAGAAAGACCCTCCAAGAACGGATCATGTCCTCAACATGTCGCCTCTGCAACCAAAAGGGACATTGGAAGGCAGAGTGTCCATATAGGGGCCAGAATGCAGCCGCCGCATCTTCATCCGGAGGTGGTAGCACTGCACCCACCACAGCAGTGACCTTCGACCAAGATGTAGATAGCCTGCCGCTGGAGTTTCTGACGATCCCTGAAGAAGTTTTTGAGCACCAGGACCTCGACCATGAGTCTCAGCAGAGCCCATCACAATGTTTTGTTAGTTGTGCCACCAATGGTAGGGATAAATTTGGGTATCATAATGTAATTCACCGTGAATACAAGGGGGGTATCCAGTCTATCCATGGGAATCCATTGCACGTCACAGCGCATGACCGTCTCCGCCAGCACCTCAGGAGTGGAGTCAGCCGTGAAACATGTGATTCTTCTAAAGTGCCAGGTAGAAGTCACACCCCGCAGTGCCAAACACTGCATTTTGCGGAAGATGCCAAAAGAGCATCTGTGGACCCAGTGAGTAGGACACGCCAGTCAGAACCACCCCCACAATGTGTTTTGTTTGCTACTCACAGCACATATGGAGTACTTGATCTCGGTGCTTCCAAAACGGTGATTGGGTCCAATCATGTAGCCGAATTGATTGGTGGTCTCGACGAAGTCATCAGGAGCAAGCTCACCAGAGTGAAGTGCAGCATCACATTTAAGTTTGGGAATGAGGGCACCCTCCAAAGTCAACATGCCTTAGTCATACCCATTGGACCACTGAAGTTGAAGATTGCCATTGTTGAAGGCGGCACTCCGTTTCTGGTATCAAACACTCTCATGCGTGCACTTCGAGCCACCATAGACTGCCAAGCTAGGACTGTAGCCAGCCCAATGCTCTGCAAAAGCATTCCACTCTCTCTGACATCCCGAGGTTTGTTTTTGATAGATATCAACCAGATGGCATTGGCAGCCTTGCAGTCTCCAGCAAAGATGGTACCACCATCTTCCAGCAACCAGGACACTTTTGTGACGACCGACGCCAAAAGCGAGTCCATGATGTCTGTGATGAACAATGGGGATGCTGGGGTAAACCATAACCAACAATCAGGAAGTAACTATAAGGGTAAGACTGTATATAATGCACCAAAAGAGTCATGTCCAACTGAAGCCAAAGAAATGACCGTGCAGAAGTCAGCCCAGTCACCAGCAGTGAATGATCCGAAAGTCACCCTAGCAGCAACAGCTCAAGATCGAAAGCCAGATCGAGACGCTAACTCGGCACCTGTGAGACCTCTCCATGTCGCTGTGCAGCCGCTTGAAGAACCTTCAACAGGTGGATCACTCAAGCCTGAGCGACCTGTCGCACCTGTCGTTGGACGACTTGCACCAGGAAAAGGTGGCGTTCGGGGAGAAGCACCAGGGCAAGACCTTTCAGGAGGTATGGAAGACGGATCAGAGCTGGATCCAGTTTGTAGCCGGCCGCTACAACAAGAGTCCCAAGACGGCACATCGTCTACTGATCCGCTACATAGAGTTGATGCTAGATCACCACGAGGAGCAGCAATTGCCCATCCTTGTGGATCTGAGTGCCAGCGAGTCAACGGTGATTCCAGTAGCCCAAGGCCAAAGGCCAACGGTGAACCTTACAACCGCCAAAGCCAAGGCAAAGCCATTGGCCCAGCCGCGATCCATGAACCTGGCTCCCACCGCAACTCATTTGCCCGACATGGAAGACGGGGATTGGGAGACGACTTCAGAAGCGTACCTCCATGGGTATATGCATCAGACCCCATTGGAGCAAGATCCCAATTTTGTTGCAGTGCAGAGTCGTCTCCTGAACATGGAAAATGCATTGACTCGAGTGATTGCTCACTTGGAGCGCCAGGGCAATTGTGGCCAGATGGATCTGCCGGAGGATCCGCATGCAGTGCCGTGACCACAGACGATATCCCTGTGGAGGCTTCCAGCGTCCACCCTGATGTCAACCTGCTGTGGAAACATGTTAGGAAACTGCAGAGTGAACTAGATCATGTAAAACAAAGTCACCATGCCATTGGCAAACCCTTTTTGCTAGCTGAAGTGTTTTGCAGCAAACAGTCACCACTGACACATCAGGCACACCAGCTTGGCGCTCGGGCTTTCAGGTTTGGCCTCGAAGATGGTGATCTGTCCACACCAGGGGGTAGAGGGACTTTGTTTAAAAGACTAGTCGTGCACCAGCCTCAACATCTTTGGTATTCACCAGTATGTGGACCTTGGTCATCATGGTCACAGTTTAATTCCACTCGAACGAGTAGCAGTCCCCAAGAATACCTGGAGAAACGTGAAGCTATGTTGTATCAAATTGCCCTTGGAATAGTGTTGTACAGGCACCAGGTGCAGAATGGCCGACACCTTCACTGGGAACAGCCAGCACGATCGCTGATGTTCCACCAGCCAGGCATTTCAGAGATCCATCAGTTCACCCGGTCATGCCAATTTGATCAATGTGAAGTTGGTAACCTGGTAGATCCTCACAATGGTGCTTTCATGAAAAAGGGAATGACCGTGATCACAACAAGTCCGGCAATGTATAAGTCCCTGCATGGCAGAACATGCCGCCGAAATCATGCACACCAGCCCATTGAAGGCAGTACATGGGTCCGAGATCAACGGGTGCGTCGTTCCACCTTTACGGAAGTGTATCCAAGGAAGTTTGCCCGTTTAGTTGCCCAGACCATGATTAAATCTCCAAGGGAATGGCCTTTCAACTGGAATCATGGGCTGATTGCATTAACACAGAGCGAGCCAGCGGTTCCCACGTTGACTGCAGGACATCACAGGGTCATCCAACCGTCGAGACCAAAAGCAACTTTTGTCAAGTCAGAGTTGATGTATCCCCCAAATAAGGTAGAACAAGTGATCAAGCGTAGAAGGCTAGCAGGAAAACAACATGTTGGTCCATGCCTAGAGGATTGTCAGGAAGTTTTAAATCGGATCAGCCGCATGATGCCTCGTGTTGGAAAAAGGGAAATCACTGAGAGTGATATCCTGCAGCCTATCCAGCAGATGTTCTCCGACAAAGTGGTGGTCAGCGTAGTGGCATGCCGAGGCACGGACAGAACAATGGGCCCACCATCCAATCTCCATGCACATGAAGCCCCATTTCGGAAAACATTAATGATCCTCAGACCGTCCAGTCAAGTCGCCCATGAAGTAAATTGGGAAAGATGGACCCAGTTATCTCATAGGCAATTGATTCGACCAGCGCATCCGTGCCGCCTAAATGTCACTGTGTTTGCAAGAGACCGTGAAGCAACCGCCAGAGCCGAACAACCTGCTGACCCGCCAGCCGATGCTGCAGGGCCAATGGAAGGCCACGATTGCAGCAGCAGCTCGCATGAAATTCGAAGTGCATCCCTGAGCCAATCACCGCACCACGAAATCAATGTTGATCCGATGGACGCTGAAACGCGACCAAACAGCACTGAGGTGACCCCAGACATCAGTGATGAAAGTCAACAGCCTGGACCACTGCATGAACAAACCCCAAGAGTTACTGCCCTGCCCAAATGGGAACAGAACCAGTTGTTTTTAATGCATAGGAATCTAGGCCATCCCAGCAATGAGAGATTGTCGAAGGCTCTCCAGGCCTCAGGGCACCGTGCTGAAGTGATCAATGCAGCTCGGGAACTTCGTTGCAAGGTATGCGCACAGAATTCAGCGCCAAAACACCAAAGACCCGGCCAGCTGAAACCAATCATGGACTTCAATCACAAAGTATACATGGATGGGATCTCATGGAAGAATCAACAAGGGAAGGAGTTCCATTTCTATCACATGTTGGATGCGGGGACAAACTTTCATGTGGCTTTCGTAGCACCATCGCGTCACACTCAGGATGTCATTCAATTAATAAATCAACATTGGATATGTTGGGCTGGTGCACCATCAAAATTGGTTGTTGATGCGGGTACGGAGTTTTGTAGTGAAGAGTTCATGCAATTCACCCAGAGGTTCAGCATCCAATGCACTAGCAATAACCCGGAAGCCCACTGGCAGAATGGGAAGATTGAACGACATGGGAAGTTTCTTCAAGAAATGCTTCGAAAGATCGACACTGAGATGCCAGTCCAAGACTATAATGCCCTTCAAATGGCCTTAAATCAGAGCACACAATCCAAAAACAATCTGAGTGTGCGTCATGGATATTCCCCTGAAATAATTGTGTTCGGTAAGCAAAGCAGATTGCCCGGCTCAATTCTCAGCGATGAATCAATTCCAAGTCATTTGAGCGCCACACAAGAAATGGACTCGGTCGATCCTAACAGCTTTAAAAGGCACCTCCAGCTGCGGGAAGTTGCCAGGAAAGCCTTCCATGCGGCAGACAACAATGACGCATTACGGCGATCCCTCTTGAGGCGGTCATGTCCAGATCGGGGAGTGTATCACCCCGGACAATGGGTCATGATTTGGAGAACCCAGAACTTGAACCAACCAATGTGGATCGGACCCCAAAGGGTAATCCTCCAAGATGCCAATCATACGATATGGACCACTCAAGCTGGTAGGTTGTACAGAAGCGCTCCCGAACATGTTCGCAGGTCCCTGCCGTCAGAAGGAGAACCAGAGGGCCCCGAATTGCCAGTTGACCTTACCATGATCCAACGTCAGATTGACCGCTTGAGCAACATGCCTGGAATCCCAGAAGAGGATGCCATTAATCTTGATGCACCAGGACCAGCCGACACTGAAGTGGGACACCAATCATCAACTCATGAACGAGGTGAAAGCACATCAGAATCGAGTCAACAGCCTGACCAAGAACCCGAAACCATCAGCCATGATTCATCACATGCCAGTTTGGAGAATGACAATGAGGTCACTGAAGAAATTCAACAGCTGTTGTGTTGTGAATCTGCAGATGCTTTTGCCGAATGCTCTGAGCAAGGCTTCGCCTTTAGATGTGAGTTTGATGTGCCGATTCCAGCGTCCCACCAAGAGTCCGATCTGACCAATGCAGATCCCTGGATATTCCTGGTATCAGGCGCTGCCAAGCAGAGAACAGAAGTCCGAATGTCAGAACTCAACCAACTTGAAAAATCCGAATTTGAAAAGGCAAAACAAAGTGAAATCAACAATTGGTTGCAAACAGAAACGATCTCAAAGGTGTTGAAACACCAAATTCCAGCAGAACAAGTGCTCAAGTGCCGATGGATATTGACATGGAAGCCCATAGATGGAGTCAATCAAGATGAGGTACATCAAAAGTCCTTGAGAACCCATAAACCGAAGGCACGTTTGGTAGTTTTGGGTTACCAAGATCCAAAGATAGATGAGATTCCCAGGGATTCCCCAACGCTCAACAAAACTTCAAGGATGCTGATATTACAAACCATCTCTTCTCATGCATGGCAGCTGATGTCATTTGACATAAAGGCGGCTTTTCTCCAAGGTCAACCTCAGGAGGGACGTACAATGGGTTTAGATCCAGTTCCAGAGCTTCGCAGAGCCATGAACATGTCTCCCCATGAGATTGGAAAGTTGAACAAGAGCGCCTATGGTTTGATTGATGCACCCTATTTATGGTACTGCACTTTAACAAATGAGCTTATCCAACTGGGAATGGAAATGAGTCCGTTTGATCCATGCACGTTCATTCTTCGGGATAAACAGAAACCCCAACAAATATCAGGTATCCTGGGAATTCACGTTGATGATGGGGTAGGTGGAGGTAATGCCCAATTCCATGAGCTTCTTGACAAACTAGAACAAAAGTACAAGTTTGGAGCCAAAAAGGTGGGATCTTTCACTTTCACTGGAGTCGAACTAACGCAGAAGGAAGACTACAGTATCATTCTCAGTCAAAGTAGCTATGTAAAAAAGATCAATGCAATCAAAGTTGAAACCAACCGCAAAACCCAGCCTGATTTGCCAGTGACAGAAGAAGAACGTGGATCATTACGTGGCCTTGTGGGGTCATTGCAGTATGCGGCAGTCAACACCCGACCAGATTTATCCAGCCGTTTGTCGTCGTTGCAATCCGCCATAAATCATGCCACTATTGATACCCTCTTAGAAGCCAACAGGTTGTTGCATGAAGCCAAGAAATATCATGATGTAACCATCACCATCAGACCAATCCCCTATAAGAATTTCCGCTTCATGGCTTTCTCAGATGCATCTTTTGCATCTCATAAGAAACCCGAGTCCCATGCTGGCGTAATCATTGTAGGCACTCATCAAGAAATTTCCAATAATATTCAATGTCCCATTAGTCCAATATCTTGGGGTTCCAAAAAGATTCAGAAGGTGGTGACCAGCACATTGGCGGCTGAAACCACATCTCTTGCCTCAGCGTTGGACCAATTGGCATGGTTACGTTTATTTTGGAAATGGATCCATGATCCGCGAACCGACTGGAAAAATCCTGAAGCTGCTCTACTGAAAACAGAGCCAGCGATCACAGTGCCCACTCTCCATGAGCATCAAGACATAGCTGTAACCGATTGCAAAAGTTTATATGACCTAGTAACAAGGACAGCTCCCCCAAATTGCTCAGAATTTCGAACACAGTTGGTTGCTAGAGCTATCAAGGATGCCCTCAAAGAAAATGTCACCCTCCGATGGGTACACTCAGGTGCCCAGTTGGCAGACTGTTTGACCAAAGCAATGCAGTCTCACTTCTTGAGAGAAACCCTGCGTGTTGGAAGTTACCGATTACATGACGAAGATGCTACCCTCAAAAATCGTGCAAAGACCAGAGATCGAATTCGTTGGTTACAGCAAGCTGATGGCGAAACAGAACCGCAGGGATCAGACCAGTTTGCCCAACATAAAGATTTTGTACCGATGTGATTTTCCTATTTCAGATCTGTCTCCGTCAGGTACATGACCATTGGGCAAACTCTGTCTGTTACCACAGGCACTTGGCTCAGGAGAGCGAGGCGGGTGGGTTTTGTGGCACATAGTGCCTTGCAGCCATAAGCAGGTGACCGGGTCACCAATCCGTTGCAATAGGGTGTGGACACCCCTAACCTTGTGCCGTGGCCGGCAGACTTGGTGCAGTGGAAGCTGAAAAGCAAGCTTTGGGAGCGTCCTGCAGGTTTGGAAAGGGGAGACTGGCATAGGAGCATTTACATCATTTGCTGAGCTGGAATACCTTGATTTTCATTTGTTTGGACACCAACCATTTTTAACAGTTTTCCTGATCACCTTGGAGTTCACCTTGCAGAGCTGTGCTGCCATTCTCATTACATGTATATATATATATATACATACCCTCCGATGTCATCAAACATGGCTAGCTGGAAAATCCCACATTTATAGATGTTTTTCCCAGCTAGAAACCTGCATTTGGATTTTCGGGGATTTTCCAGCTAGCCAGATTTTGATAATTTCGGAGAGAATTTCCATGAAATTTCATTGGAAACTCTCCCGGATTACCCACATTTTGGTACCCTGCAATTTCACGGAAATCACAAGCCATTGAGCCATTGCCATTTCCTCATCCAGTCACCTCGATTTTGGGGGATTTCCCTGCCCAAGGCCCATCCAGCAGCCGAAGCTGCGAAAGCAGCAGCAGAGGAGAGGAGTTTCGCCTGATGGCCGTGAGCAGACTTTGACATAGGTTGCGAACATCTTCCTTCTTGAGCAAATAAGAACGGGATGTCGAAAGTTTCTGGCAAAAAATCACAGCCACAGACACCGTGTCCGTGCATGGGATGGAAGAGCAAGTGTCCTCCTGATGGTTAGGTCATACGTTTGATAGCAGGTCGAAAATCAGCACAGGTGTTGATAGTGGGAAATCAATAAGCAGGACGGTTCACGAACAAATCATGAAATGTAGTTTCACCTTGGGAGTTTTCTTGGCTGACTTTGGACCACTTCTCTGTTTCGTGGTGATGAAAAACCTTTCCTCGGATGTTTCCCATTGAACGACACTCCCTGCGAGCCCAAGGCCTTCCCAAGTCTAAGATCCCCACATATACCCGTACTAAGAAAAACATACCATGCAAAGGATTCATGCTGACAAATTCATGAGAAGTTCATATAAAATATATAAATAAAATGGACTCACATATGAGCTATATATAATATAATACATATATATATATATATCGATGAGTATGTTATTATGTTTAGATGGGCTACATATCTCCAACAAGAATTTTGCAATACTGACTGTATGAATGGATTATCCACACAGGCGATACTTCATGGGCATCCAGTATACCTCTGGGCATCCCCAAAAAGATAGAAAAGTCTCTTTCAGGATGTTAGTTCGATGATATTTTCGCATCTGATTCATTCCTATATAGTTAATAGTTATTTTTGATCATCATCCCCATTTTTCCTTTAATTCCTTTTAACCATTATCTATATAGCTTTCCAACGAGTTTCGTCCTCTTCCTCGCCGATTTCACGGGCTTCATTTGGACCCCTCGGAGGCAATGGAAGATCCTGCCGAAGCTGCAGAAGCTGCTGAGGAGACGGTTCCTGGATTCTTTTGGAAGTATATTCTTTGATGTATATATATATATCTATAAATGCATTATAATATATATATATATACACATATCTATTTATGTCACATTCCCTGTACATATTATGAACAAATTTGAGAAGATGACTGGTCTGAAATTATTCATATAACACAAGCTGATATACATACATATATATATACACATAATGCTTGAACTTTTTTGAATGGCTCAAGTTCGAGAAAATTGGACCTCCCCTCCAAAAATTGGATGGATGCATCCTAACAAAGAAGGCTATCCCATGCAATCGATGCCGGAGATCAGTGATAAACTGCAAAAAGAATTCTACTCCCGCAATTATATCGCCCAGGGTGAATGAGAATCCAGGGTTGACCTTACCTGGGTATATATATATATATATTTATGTACTGTATACGTATACACACGGTATATTTCTGCGACTTGTTGTGTGGGATCCATGTGGGTAAGTCTACAAGAACTCGGACCTTTTAGCACCACAGGGTGGTCCAGTGTTTTGGGGAGGTGCAGCAATGATCCGAAGACTCGTTACGTTTTGTGATAGTTATGTTTTTTTGTTACTAGCTGGATAGTTATGGGGGTCAATGTTTCATGAATGTTGTAAACCCAATTTTATGACTCAATATTTTCATCAGGATAACGCAATTACGTAACCATAACCCAACAATAACCCAACAATAACCCAACAATAACCCAATAATAACCCAGTAATGACCCAATGTTTGTTTATTCTTGGGAAGCGCGGCCTCAAAATCGGCCTCCATTGGGGAATGACATAAGTCGGCTTGGATCGGAGTTGCTGAGGATCCCGGTGACAAGGCTTCACAATATCTATGAGTATTCGCGTATAGATATACTTGACATAGAATTCAAAACACTGACCGTACATGGATTATCCACATATGACATCGTTGTATCTTCAATGGAATCTGGTGCGTATTTACCCCTACAAGTCGTGGTAAAACCATATGGATTTCCGCTGATTTTCCAAGCAATTCATGGAAAATGCTCTAGGCGGCAATGGAGGAAGATCGCGTCCGGGTCGAGGCGGCAATTCCCTACCCCAAAGTGGGTTCAACAAATTGCTACCAAGATTACGGTGGAATTTAGGACATCAGTTATTCATAGTTCTTCCTTTTTGCCAATATATGTCATATATATATTGTCATATTGTTTCTCCGCATCGCTTGTGACAATCTGGGACCATGAAATATGTTGATTTCTCATTAATGACCGAAGATACCAAGAAATCTTCGGCTTTGTCTGAAAATAGGGTCCCTTGGGTCACCCATCGGGTTGCAGACCTCCTATTTTGAGGGCCATAAATAGAGGGTAAATACCTCAATGATCAGATGCCATATCAATCACATCGTATTGTTGACCATATATCAACAAATACATCCCCATGATTTCCCCAGTAGATCCGTAGATCCCCATGATATACTATTACATTAGCATTTTTAGCATCCCAAAAACACTAGTGAATAGTGGGATTTTCAATCCAATGATCATCCCAAACTTGGCTTAACTTAACATCCACCTTTAATTTTGCAATGTTTCCACAGACAAAGAATCACCAGATTATCCAAGAATATAGGCACATAATATATATCCCATTCGATCCCACATATTTGGTGGTAAAATCTCAAAACATGGTTTCTTAAATTAAATCCAACATGTTTCCATTAGTCCATTAAAACCGCATTCTCCAAGAGTATACAGGGTTGCTCCAAACCAGTCTGGATATAGGATAGCCACAGAGCTTACCACTAGGAGTTTGCCATCGACCTTCATTGCACTGTTGGCGGGTGGAGGCTCTTTTTCCAAAGTGTAACTAGCAATCATGTTTGGATTTCAGCACTTTTGTATAGTTGCACGGTTCCAATACTATACCGACTATACCATCATTTTCCCTCATTTTCCCATGAATTCCTCTGGTTTTTACAGGTGCCACACGACACTTTGCCGGTTTCGTCCTCCTCTGAACCCCCCTTGCTGCTTGTTTCGGAAGACAGGGGATGAGCAGACACCCATCCAAAATGGGAGGTTAACCGACGGTTCACCATTGAAAAATTGGGAGTTATACATCAAGACGTCAAGAATAGGGAATGAACTATGCAAAACGGGTAGTTCACCATTAAACATGAGGGGTGTTCTGGGGTTAAGTATAAAAGATGAGGAATTTCAAGCATGAAATATGGCTCGTGCCTGAAAATTGAAAAAGTGGTACAGAGCAAGTCATGATTTGTATCATTATCTGTATCAGTATCTGTATCAGTATTTGTATCATTGTCACCATCATCATCATCATCATCACCATCATCATCATCATCATCACCATCATCACCACCACCATCATCATCATCATCATCACCATCATCACTACATCATCACTACATCATCATCATCATCATCATCATCATCAGCATCATCATCATCATCATCATCATCATCATCGTCATCATCATCATCATCATCATCATCATCATTTCCACATTCATCACATTAGAATATCATCAGCCACCATCAAAAAAGATCACACACACACACAGATCTGGGTTTTCCCGTGGGTTTCGAGTGGCTTTTTACCTAAGGCCTCAAGATCTCCCACCTCCACTCGACACGGATCCGCCCGAGCAGGTCGGGTTTTTTCGGAAGAAAGATGTGGGACGTTCACCAGCAAAACATGGGGAAAACATGGCGAAAACCATGGGGAAAAGACCATGAACACATCGACAGATGGAGACTCTTTTTTTGGCCTCCGCCTTATTTTGGGCCGCTGACCTGTACAGTTTGTATGGTCAGTTTTTGGCACTCTGTTAGACGTTTCTTGGCTTTTGGGTGAAATAACTTCACTTGAAATGGCAGGGAAACAAGTGGTTGGTGAACGCAAGATTTGGGTGATGTTTCTTCTAGAGGAATCGCTACCCTGTGTTCAACCACTACTGTATCTCGTTTGGAAAAAATCCAGTGTAATTTTGCACGGAAGTACAGTGATCATCGTGTGTTTTTTTTGGGATGAAGCAAAACCGGGGGGAAGTGGAATACACACAGAACTTATTTTTTATACGTGCACTCAAATTTCAACGTTTGGGCGGTTTGGGCACCAACCACACTGTTTGAGCACTGTGCTTAGCATCCAAGGGCAAAATGTGACGTTAGCGCGGTATATGTTTTGCTGTAAACAGAGAGATATACTGCAACCTTCCTGTACATGTTCTCCTTCAATCAACCGTACTATTGAATTTAATACATGGAGCCCCACAAGCTATGCCAAATCATGCATGGTTCATTTTTGTGATTGAGATTTGTAATTGTACAGATATCCCCATTAGAAAATAGGGAGATATACTGCAATCATTCCATGTACGTGTCCCCAATGAAGCTCCAGGGACACGAGTAGTGCTGGGATTGCCCAAGCCGATGCCATTTGCTCAGAGCTTCCCAGAGTTTGGTCGGCCGTGGCACTATGGAATCAATGGAGGAGAAGGTGCTGTCGCCACCGAGACAAGTCTTCACCCCAGGGGTGCAGATACGGAAGTGGGACAGCCCATATGATTTTTTAAAAGCAGGGGTCCATCAATGTAGCATTTTGACAACTCATGGATTGCTGTCAGCTTAGAATGGTCGGATCTCGAGCATATTGGGGGAACCAATGCAGATATGACGCTTGGTGCAGCTATGACTGCTATGACTATGACGGTTGTTTTTTTAGCCACCATTCTTATTCACGCACGCTATTGCTACTTCCTGGTCAGAGTTGACCACGGCGATAAGATGCTGAACCATCTCATTTCTTCTTGCTTGTCTATCTTTATTGCCTTCTTCTTTGTCCCACAATTGCTGCCTGCCGAGAATGATTTGGTGGCCAACCGATTAAGAATCCCGTTTTTTGTATGGCTGAAAGTCAGCCCATTCCTGGAAAGTCATTGCTTGGGTCTTTGGGTTTACCACATTGCTACTACCAACCCTACTAGTGGCCTATAAGCACATTCCCAAGCATGTTATAACATAAACCATATATCTCATATATTATATATATATACACATGTATATACAAGTAAATATGTACGTATACATATATATATGTACGTGTATATATATATACATACATATCAGTATATAAATACGTACAAATATATATATATTTATAAGTATATATATATATGTATATAAGTATATAAATAAGTATATATATAAGTATATATATATAAGTATATGTATAAATCAGTATATATATAAACAAGTATATATATAGATACGTGTATATATATATAGATACGTCTATATATATAGATACGTATATATATATATAAGTATATATAATATATATATAAGTATATATATATAAGTATATATATATAAGTATATATATATAAGTATATATATAAGTATATATATACATATATAAGTATATATATAAGTATATAAATAAGTATATATAAGTATATATATATACGTATACATATATATATATATAAGTATATATATATAAGTATATATAAACGTATATATATATATAAGTATATATATATATCTATACAAGTATGTATATATGTATACATATATAAGTATAAATAAGTAAGTATATATATATGTATATAAGTATAAAAGTATAGATATAGAAGTATACATATGTAAGTATATACATATACAAGCATATGTATACACACACACATATATATATACACATGTATATAAATATGTATTTATACATACATACACATGTATATACACATATATATATACATACACACATATATATATATATACATACACACATATATATATATACATATATACATACATATATATATATATATGTATACATATACATATATATATATATATACAGACATATACATATATATATATATTGTATAATATAATATTATGTTATATTATTTTGAATTATATTCCGTTATATATTCCGTTATATATTACACTATATTATACTATATTATACTATACTATATTATGATATAGTCCGTTATATATTATACTATATTATACTATATTATACTATATTATACTATATTATACTATATTATACTATATTATACTATATTATACTATATTATACTATATTATACTATATTATACTATATTATACTATATTATACTATACATAATACTACGGTAATATTACATTATACTATACTATAATATAATATTATATTATAATATCCTATATTATATACCACCGTAGCTTTTCTGCCAGGTGTTGGCCGAAATGGCAGACCTTCGTCGCTTCATTGGAGACCACTTTGAAAAACAACAAGCCACGGGGCCGAATTTCTAGAGGATTTGGTGATCTCAGAGAGATAAAAATTCAAGGTACCAATGGATGGGGTTCTTAAGTCGGGATCTAGTGACTTGGATGATTTGGGCCTATGACTTAGGAAACCTCCGTAGAAAAGGACTAGGGCCTTTGTATGGGAATGTCGACAGAAAATATGGCCTGAAAAATGGTACTAACGTTAACGTACCTCCATTTGAGGATCTTGAAATTCGAATTGAGTAAGTGAACTATGACAAATACTCCTGCTGATTGGCTACGACAGGTGCATTCCAGCTGATACTGGGAATTTTTACTGACTAATAGTGCAATGGGACGGGATAGGGTTAGTTTTCATGGCTCGAGGAAATTGACATGGATGGATCTGCAAGGAACGTGAAAGTGCGGTGTCAAACACGCTCGTCATTGGCCCGAAAATCGGGGATCAACGCTTAAAGAAACGCTTAAACAAGTAACTCTAATTGGGAAACATGTGGGAAATGATGATGTTTCCCATTTCCCATATAGAGTTACCATATTTTCCCACATGTTTCCCATATAGATATTTTCAGATAATATTGGTCCATGGGATTTTGGGAGTACCATATTTTCAGACCAATAAATCCCCGGGTCCCAACATGGACCCCTCGTGAGGCGCTACTGATGGGCCTTAGCGGTGTGAAAACACCCAAGCAGCTCTGGCCCTTTGTGGCCAAAGGGGACCGGGCCAAAGGGGACAGGTGGAGATTTTGACCCAAAAATATATGGGTATGGATCAATACCTATTAATACCATTTTTAGGGGGATGAACATCCATTTACCAGCTATCTTGGGGTTCACTAGGTACCAGGGTTTTGACCCATCCCCATATGGATGTGATTCGGATTGATCCAAAATGGATTAAATGGATGTGCTTAAAGTTGGATAAACATCTCCAACTTTTGCTGGAAATGTTACACAGGAAACCATATGGGTTGACTGACCATCCAATGACCGGATCTTTTCTGCGAATTTGACCGGGAATTCTGTGAGGACATGCGACATGAAATCACATTGAGCCAACTTGATGTTTTTTTCATGCGGAAAACAACCCATCGATTTGACCTCTTTATGGTCATATATGGTTTTAATACATTTTTTTTTGTGGTAAAATGGGATAAATGGGAATTGTTGGATGATTGGGTTTTCTTTCCAAGTTACATGCGATACATGTTTCCTGTCAAATGCTTGTCTTCTGCATACCAGAAGGTGTTGGTTGTGATATGAAAAAACACCACATCATCAAGAGTTAAAAGCTGCATCTGGTGGGTTCTGATTCATTCAGCCATGCTGCCCTATTTCGTGGTTAATCCTGTACCCTCTGGGAAATTAACATAGACCCTGAAATCACCAATTTTTAGTGGAAACTAATCTTCCAACC